TTAGTGTTCGAGAGACGATTTGTCGACTAAACTGGGCTTGGATTCGATAGAAAAAGTACCTGCTGTGCACATATCGAACCCGAAAACGTTGGAATTTCAAGTGTGCAGGACCACTCTCATACCGGGCGTGCTGAAAACATTGGCTGCTAACAAGAAGATGCCTTTGCCGATAAAACTATTCGAAATAGCCGATGTTGTACTTAAGGATCCCGAAACAGGTAGAATGCTAATTAGATTCTGTGAAATAATAAGTTACTGATATGTGATTGTGGGTGTAGAAGTAGGAGCAAGAAATGAGAGAAGAATTTGTGCGGTGAATTGCAATCGGAATGCTGGTTTCGAAATCGTACACGGCCTGTTGGATAAAATTATGTCGCTGTTGGAAGTTTCCTGGTCTCGTAAGAAGGATTCTGTCGGGTATTATTTGAAAGCCGCCAACGGTAAGTTTATTTAGTTTTATAATTTATTAAGTATTTTAAATTATTTTTTTTTTTTTTTTTGTAGATCCCGCTTATTTTCCCGGACGGTGCGCTCATGTAATTTGTCATGGGACGATCGTAGGTAAAATAGGAGTTTTACATCCCGATGTTTTAGGGAAATTCGAGTTGTCTAATCCTTGTTCGGTTTTGGAATTGAACATTCAACAGTTCGTTTGATTTTCGTACGATTGTGAATTTTTAAATTGAAAATAATAAGCGAATTTTGCTATCAAATGATTTATTAACTGTACATGCTTTAGGGCTTACAATTAAAAAAGTTTAGGTATAAATACTCAGTTCGAAATTTTGGACTCTCCACTTTCTGTCCATCAGTAAAGTGTGTGTGTTTTTTTTTCTTATCACAATATACAAGTTTAAAAAAATGGGAAATTATGACGTTAGGAAGATTTTAAATACATATTATTTTATTGCGATTCAGTATTGGAGTCCTTATCATAAAACGAATTACTAAGCTATTGTCTTTTAAAAAAAATAAGAAATTTCTTATATGAAAATACATTTTTTTTTCTTTATAGAAATTCGGTAAAAATATTCAATTCAATTTGCATACTAAATATTAGAGCGGAATTACTAATTTTTTTTTGTATGAATTGTAATATTAGAAATTACTGTGCGTTTGTTTAGGAAGACTAAAGAGAAATAGAAACTGAATATTTCAACCAAAAATGAATAATAAAAATAAATAGCAAATGATATGTTTGACATACTATGTACAAAAGTGAGAAAAACAATATTTACAGTTTACTGAATAATTTGTTCACAACATTCTACCGTTTCTTCGACAACTTATAATTTTAATTGTATAAAATACTACTACTTTGCTCCTTAATTTTTTTTTATACAAAATATCTGTTATTGTATTTACAACTAATATCTACATTAGGGGAAATGCTTGTCAATTGCACTTTTATCCACGCCTTTAAAGCCCTGTGTAAACTTTAATTACAAGCATTACAACGTTTTCAACGTCTCTAATACACAGTTTACGACAATAAAAAATAACCAATTCTCATATAAACACGGCTTTACAAGCTTCAGACGAGCAAAGTGTCTTGGAAAATATACCGTGTCCCAAATAAACAGGAACATCGGCCTTGGGGATGTTGAACTCTTTTACCCTTTTACAGTTTTCAATAATCCCCACGCTCCCCGTCCTTATCGAAGATACAGTTTATAAAAATTAAAACAGAGGGAAAGGCACTCTACAAATCTCATCCGGAATTCTTCGAGAGATTCAACGGCATATCTACAACACACACAAAAATAAATTAGTACCATCTTTACCGAGCTTACGCACATTTCAAAACTTACCCGTAACGGTTTCTTCTCGATGGGCCTCGTCCTTACGGGCTTCCGGCGCCCAAGGATACCCGGGAGTCTCGTTCGATCTCAACAGATGCCCGGAAGGATAAACGGGATGTCCGTAACCTCTACCGTAAGCCCCCGATCCGTAATAGGGCGGCACGAAAGGATACATGTAACCGTGAAGGTACGATTGGGGTGAGTACGGCGGGAAACTAGCGCATTTGTCAACCTGTTGCTATAAAACGAATACTTGGTAAATTACAAGAGTCTCTCCATACAAAGTGAGACTACTTACCGAAAGCTCGATAGACCTCAATCTATCGACGCTCTCCGAGTACCAACGGTCTTCGGCGCCCGGCGAACAATATCGAGCCCCTTGGGGCGCGGGATAGTGATTGGGCGATGAAGTCGGCGATCTTTTGGCCGTTCTATCGTCAGCCAGCAGCGAATTGATGCTATAGCTGGAACTCTTCGACGGCTTGGAGTCCTCGACGGATCCTCCTCCGTTCGACGTCGCCGCCGTCGCGACGCCCGCCGGAGCGTTCGAGACGGGCGTCGATTGGCCGACGGTTTGCAATTTGTTGCGGCTGCGCTTTTGGGCATTGTCCTCTTGGAGCGATTTGTCCTTTTCCATTTCGCGCAGGAAGCGCTTCCTCGGGGATACGACCGTCTCGGCTCTCGGGGGCGTACTGTAACAATTCAATATTCTCTCTATAAATCTTATCTACTAAGGTTTTCTTTGATCATTTCTTTTACCTAGTCCTCAGGACTTTGTCTATAAGTTGCTGCACGATACCGAGAAGAGACGTTTTCTTATTCGATTTCTTAGGTCTAACAAACGATGCGTTGTCCGGTTTGTCCGATGAAATCGAATTGGGGGCTCTCCTTCTGCCTCTCGGATGCCTGTTGGCTTTCCTTCGGCTTTTAGGCCTCCAGAAGTAGAATTTCAGCTCCTTGGACAGGTTTCGACTAGGATTCGATTGCTTCCACGAGTGGTCCCGTTGCCAAGGGGAGGACTGTATCGAACTGTTGTCATCGGACACTGGAAATTGTAACGCAACAATTAAATTGAATTGTTCAATGTTTGAGTTAGGCGAAAGATAAAAAAATTAGAGAATAATGTACAATATGCTTGAGTAGGCTCGTTTGAATGAGGTTATTGTTAGGAAATTATCAGAGCGAGAAAGAATAGATAAAAAAAAAGGAAAGTGTACATACCAAGTAAATTTATAATAAATTGTTTCATACTTACCGCTAAGAGATGTGCTGCTTTCCTGTCGATAAGCAGGAGTCGAAGAAGCCGTTCCCTGCGGAGGCCAAAATGTCTTCCTGGGTACTGATACCCAAGAAACTCTCTCACCTTCTCTGGCTCTTTCCAACTCCAGTATGAATTTCCCATCTAAAATAGCCAAAGAACTAATTAACAAGTAACAATTAATGTTTGTAAATATTATAAATGTTTATGTTTGAGATCTGTCAACGTCAGAAATGTCAAAAAAAAGGGTGAAAATTACAGCCTACTATGAAAAATGGAGATGAACTAATTAATAAATTCAACACCAAACAAATCGAGTCAACTAATTAATAGTACTAATTCTAATTAATTAATTAGTATTTGTAAATATTAAAAATGTTTCCGTGTGAGATCTGTCAACGTCACAGACGTCAAAAAAAAGGGTGAAAACTACCGCCTACTATGATAAATAAACGGTACACAAAACTATACAGAAAAATCACCGTCTGCTAGATACTTGGAGATGAACTAATTAATTGGTCGAATATCAAAAGAATCGGACCGATCGGTCTAAACAAAAAAAAAAACGAACCTTTAAAGAACTTGAGCCGTCCACCTTGCCCGTAATTACTCCTGTGGCACTCCTCCTTGCTATTTCCGTCGACATTTCCATTCATTCCGAATGCGTGTCCCTCTTTTGACATTTTGGCACATTTTGTCAAGATGGTTGTCGGGGGATGCTGAACCTCTGAGGATATGTGCATTTCATACCGTCTGATCGAATCGAAGGCGGCCGTTTCGCACGGAACGATTAAAATCCGAAGAATTCCATGATAAGTCCAGGTGCACCTGGTGTAGGTTCTTCGGGTGTTTCGACGTTCGCGGCACTTTGGCGATGATTTTCCGCCGAGAGGCGCCCTAGAATGGTTCGCGGCATCTTCGGCACATCATTGAAACGCACTAGTAACGATAGATTCGCAAATTCGAAGCGTTTTCCGGACGCAAACCCGCCCTTGGTATGCGATACTCTCCCGTCCCGTGCTCGAAATTTGATGATGTTGACGGTCGGGCCGTTGGCGGCGTTGTCAAATCGCTCGAAGAAAATGTCGCTAGAATTGTCACTAGGCATGTCAATCTCTTTATCAAATTCTTTACAAATGTTATTACAAAATATAAATCGATTACTTTTGTCGTTGGTAATGAAAAGATATGTTTATATATTTTTGGCATTGATTAAAAGCATTTCGTAACTTCGAAAACACTCCTCGAAATGCGAACTACTGAATTTGTAGTACGACTGGCAACACAGCAATCGGTCGGTTTCATAAAAAGTTCATTCACATTTCCATTTGGTTGATTTTTGGAAAATTTGTGTATTTTAAACGAATTTCGTATTTTGGGCAGCATTGTAATCAATTTAATTTGAATTATTTTGTACTATTTCGATTTTTAATTGGTTTTATTGGCTAACTGAAACAATGATGGATTTGAAAATGGCGCCCAATCTAGTAGTGATTATTCTTAGGCAATTTTTCACGAGACACTGAAATATATAATGCAATTTATAATATATACAGTCGTTATTTTAAAAGATTCTTTAGTGTCAGTGGAGTTTTATTTAGATATAAACGTATTAAAGTCAACTTTAGAAAAAATCATGTATACTGAATAGCAGAATCCCTTATACGTAAAAGGCAAGTTATAATGAAATTAACGGCAACGATTAATACCTTTAATAATTAATATTACAGATATACTACCAATGTGTTAATTTAATATCGTAGATTTGAACTAAACTCGCATATTAAATATTGTACAGCAAGTAACTGATTGACTTATAAGACCAAGGCCGTTGGAATTGACGTTTGGCGATTTTGGCGTTTTGTCGTCAAGTACCTAACTTCATTTCAGTAAAATTAGAGTTTCTCGTATGTTCTGTTATTTTTTGCGCGTCCCTGTTTACCTACAATATGATAAAATACTCTTAGTATTAAATTTCTGCCGTAATGAAAACCGTTCGAATGTGACCAGTGTTATGTTATGATACAGCCGAACTACGGATAAGTATTTTTTTTAGTGCAAAGACCGATTAACCGCAAACTGCCCGTTTGACTCAGCGTTGGAAACAACAAATACCAGGTAAATATTGGGATAACCGCTGTTGTTATTAACTTTCGTGCTCCTTTTGGATACGGATTGTCGAAAGGAAGCATCTTTTATCGTGCTCCCGACTTTCGACTTCATTTTCTCATTAATTCCAGCCTTTATGCGCTACAGTAACCTGCAATCTGCAATTTTACAGATCCCTAGAAATTCGTTGATGAAGCTTTATCGAAAATACCAAAATATGTGGAAATTTGCTTTAATTTGAATTGTAGGTACGAGAAAAATCGCAAGAAAACAACCGTAAAGAACTTGTAATGGAAATTTCGAAAATTATTGGACTATTAAAAGCGTTAGCTGATAAAACTACATAATGTAAATTGCCTTCCAGTTTGAACTGTAGTCGAAAACATATCAAATTAGTCTGTACAAACTCTAATAATTAATTAATAGGCGATTCTTCTTATTGTTTCAGTCGATATCACCACCGAATATGTCCGAGATAGTATACCCATCGGGCTGCCGCCCGATTAGCGATGATCTCAACACGGACGAACTAATAAGACGTTTGAAAACGTTGGCTCACACGTTACAGGCCATGGGCCAGGACGACGGGGCCTACAAGCAATACATACCGTTATCCTTGCACCTCGCCGAAGAGCAATTCCTCTCTCACACGTCCCGTGACGTTCAGTTACTGATAGCCTGTTGCATAGCCGACGTTCTAAGAGTATACGCCCCGGAGGCACCTTACAAAGACTCGGAACAAGTCAAAACGATCTTTCTGTTTCTCATAACGCAGCTGTCCGGCCTGAAGGATCCCAAAGATCCCGCTTTCAAGAGATACTTTTATTTATTAGAGAACTTGGCCTACGTTAAATCGTTCAACATGTGCTTCGAGCTGCAGGATTGCCAGGAGATATTCTGCGCGTTGTTCCTGTTGATGTTCAAGATAGTTAACGACGAACATTCGGGCAGAGTGAAGAGCTTCATGTTGGACGTGCTGTGTCCTTTAATATCCGAAAGTGACATGGTTAGCAACGATTTATTGGATATAGTATTGATAAATATTGTAGAGCCGAATAAAACGCAGCACAAGAACGCCTATTTCCTAGCCAAGGAATTGATTATAAAGACATCGGATACACTCGAGCCGTACATACAGGCCTTCTTCAACCACGTACTGATACTAGGAAAGGAGGACAAGAATTTACAAATAAGCGGTAAAGTGTACGATCTCATATACGAACTGAACCACATCAGGCCCCAAATACTGCTGGCCGTATTACCTCAATTGGAATGCAAACTGAAAAGTCCCAACGAGAGCGATCGATTGGCCGCCGTGGCACTTTTGGCGAAGATGTTTAGCGAAAAGGACTCGGAATTGGCCAAGCGTCACAACGCCCTGTGGAGGGCGTTCCTGGGCAGGTTCAACGACATCTCCATAACGATACGGACCAAGTGCGTGCAATACTCGATGCACTTTCTGCTCAATCATCCGGATCTCAGGAAAGACATTACGGAGACGTTGAAATTGAGACAACACGATTCCGACGAGAACGTTCGCTATCAAGTGGTCATGGCCATCGTGACTACGGCCAAGAACGATTTCCAGATCGTTTCGGATTCCGAGGATCTGTTGGAGTTTGTTAAGGAACGAACGTTGGATAAGAAATTTAAGATACGTAAAGAAGCCATGTCCGGATTGGCTATGATTTACAAAAAGCACCTAAGCGATCCCGACGTGCCCAACGCCACTAAGAAAGCCGTGACTTGGATCAAAGATAAGATATTACACGGTTATTACATGACAGGCATCGAAGATCGATTGCTGGTCGAAAGATTGCTGAATACCAGCTTAGTACCATTCCAGTTGCCTTCGGGTGAGCGTATGAAGAAATTGTACCATTTACTAGGTACAGTAGACGATCACGCCACCAAAGCCTTCTTAGAACTGCAAAAAAACCAGTTGTGCGTCAGGAAGCTAGTGCAAGAGTTCCTGGAGTTGCACAGGAGATCCTCCAATGGTAGTAACGAGGTAATTAAACAAACACTCGACAAGGAAACTAGTCATCTAATATAATCTAATGTATTTCTAGGTACTTAAAGAGCTTTCGTTGAAGATCCAAAACTTGTCCAAGTACCTGCCGGAGCCGGTGAAGGCCCACGAGTACCTCACCAAATTCAGCAATCATTTGAAATGCGACAGCGCTCTGATAGAACACTTCAACGTGGTGGTGAAGCCGTCGGTGAGTTGCAAGGAGTGCTCGGAAGCGACGGCGGCCGTACTGAGAAAACTCGGCCCGCCGGTGATGACGAATCTCTACTATAACACGGTGAAAATGCTGCTGGAGCGCATCAGTAACGTGATGGTCGATCACGAGGCCATCGGGCTGTTGGTGGGCTACGTGGAGGACTGTTTGCGCGGCGGGAATTCCATCGAGGAGATCGGTCTGCATCCGGCTACAGCCGGCGAAAGGGGTCTCAGGTTTGTTGATGAGATTTCTTTCTTTTGGTTAGAAATTGTATTTGGTAATAATGTAATCGCTTAGGTTGTTGGTGATGCTGAGCGCCGTGTTCCCGAAGCATTTCCAATACACCGACGTGCTGGAACAGTTGATGAGTCTGTTGAAGATGGACGACGAAAACATCGCTCCGCCCGTTTTGACTATGTTTACGTTTCTCGGTAAATACGGAAGTTTATGTAAGTTACTAGCTCGCGCCGTTTAAATATTTACAACACCAAATTATGCGAATGTCTCTTTGTAGATCAACAATTTCCCGATTTGATGAACGAATTGGCGCCCATTTGCAAGGAATTCGCCCAAACGGGTACCCCCAAGCAAGCCAAAGGGGCCGTACAATGTATAGTGAAGAACATGCCCGAGTTGTATGACACCTTATTTTCGAGTATACTGGAATCGGTGAAGAACAATCTGTCGCCCGAATCGCCCCATTACAGAACTGCCATCGTGACATTGGGACATATAGCCTTCAATATACCGGAACAATACAAAGTCCAGATAAAGAACATCGTATCCAGAAAAGTAATTATTTTTTATTTATTTATTTATTTATCGCGTATTCAACGGGGCTCTACTAAACCACTAATTCTTGTTCTTATTGAACGCAGATAGTCAAAGAGTTGCTGGTGAAAGAAGCCAAAGACTCGGGCGATTTGGACGCGATCGGCGACGGTCAGGCCTGGTGCTCCGAGGACGAATTGCCCGAGGAGACCCGGTGCAAGATCGAAGGGCTCAAAACGATGGCTCGCTGGCTGTTGGGCCTCAAACAGGACACGGCCTCGGCGCAGAAAACCTTCCGCATGCTCAACGCCTTCATATTGCACAAGGGCGATTTGCTGCAGTCCGGAAAACTGGCCAAATCGGAGATGTCCTGGTTGAGACTGGCCGCCGGATGTGCCATGTTGAAGATATGCGAACAGAAAGGGGTCGGGGATCAGTATACGGCCGAACAGTTTTACAATTTGTCCCAGTTGATGACCGACGAGGTGAAACAAGTGCGGGAAGTATTCGCTAATAAGCTGCACAAAGGTAAGATTTTTTTTTTTTTTTTGCTGGATAATCGATGTAGTAGAGACCACTACTAAATTCCCTCGAATTTCTTCTATCTACCAGGTTTAAACAGGGGATTACCAAACAAGTGCCTACCGCTGGATTTCATGGGCTACTACGCCCTGGCCGGCAAGGAGCCCGAGAATCGGCTCCGATCGACCATCCGTAACTACATGATAGCCGATATAAACAGACGACGGGACTACTTAAAGTCCCTGACGATGGGCCCCGCTCATTCGGACAAAGCGTTCGGTCAGTTATCCCATCTTTTTCCGGATTCGATGCTTTTGTTCGCCATACCCATTCTGGCGCATGATCCACATTTCACTAAATGGGACGATGTCCAAGAGTTGACCAGGGTGAAACAGTGCCTGTGGTTTGTGCTGGAACCCTTGGTGGTGAAGAACGATTATTTCAGCTATGGATATTACAAGAATTTGATTGAAAAAATGAAGAACCACAAGGATGCCCTCAGGCCCGAAGACGATTCAATTAATTACGTGAGTTTCGTAAATTTTATAGTACATATAAATCCATTACTGATAATTGATTGATTGATTGATTGTTTTTCATGTAGAAAATATGGGCGCTTTGCGACTTGGCCTCCGGCCTTTTGCTCACTCGGTCCACCAACTACGATATCAAAGATGTGCAAACGGAGATGCGCATTCCCGCCATGTTCCTGAAGCCCCAACCACCCGATTTCGTCAATACAAGGGTATTCCTGCCCCCCGACATGCAGTATCAGCCCAACATCAAGGCCGGCATGTTAATAACGAACGAAAGGCAAAAGAAACCCAAGCCGAAGAAGCCGGAGGGATGCGGACCTTTAGGAACTGACGTTCAAGTATTTGCTTAATCGATTTATCGTGCTAAACAGTTGTGGTTAATTTTCTGTTGTTGTTTTGTAGCCTTCGGAAGCGTCCGAGACCAAAATCCAACTGCCCGACTTGGAGGATGCGATGATACAGCCACCGTCGAAGAGACTGAAAAGCCAAGGGGTGAAAGTGAATAGTAATAAGTGAGACAATGTACATAAATTGAGGACTAAAGTTTCTCGCAGGACAAGAATATGGCGAGTACTCGGTTGCAGTGCTTTCTTACAGTTAACTTTTTATTATTATTATTATCATTATGTTTGCGTATTATTAAGTGTATTTTGAGTTTGGACGTTTTGTCGAACTTGAGAAAAGCGTTCTTGTTGTAAAGAAAGGCGAATATTCGATGAGTTAGTGAGGATTTTATCATAGACGATTATTATTATTTTTATATATCTGGATGACTATAAATTTTGAACAATTTTTATTTCTTCTAATGAATTGTATCGGGTTCATAATTGCTCACAGATTGTATATTTTTTTCTTAGAATTTATTCTAACTTTGCTTTGTGTTATTTAATTATTATTTATAAGTATAAATTCGATTGTAGGGCTTTTGTTTTTTCGATCAAAAACTTCTTTGATATACATAAGTTTATGATTATCTAATTTTACGGAAAATTGGTAGTTTTTTCCTCATTTCAACTATGGATCAGTAGTTGTTTAAACGTTCTTTTTAGTCTTATGTTTTCTATGGTTTTACTAATGTACAAAATATACCTGTCAATAAATAATTGTCTACTCTTAGTATAACATTCTTTTAAACCTTAACAATAACGATTTATTAATCGAAAATACACTAAACATCTCTAAACAACCACTCTAACAATCATTTCACATTCGGGTATTTCCTAAGCAAGGAATTTATTTGTTTATGCGACATTTTTTTCTCTCCGGGTATTAATATGCCTTTCGCCTCTTTCTCCTCCTTCCTCAACTTGTCGTGCGTAAAGTCCTTGTAGCATTTCTGGAACCGTTCGATCTCCTTCGAACAGAGCTGTTGGTTGAACTCGTTCTCTTTGAAGCAGGCGAACATTATGGACATTTCGTGTATGCAGCACACGTCTGATGTCTTTCCACCTTTCCCTGAAACATTGTTCCTGAGTTGCAGGGGCAACATTTGCTTGGGGGGGACCGGCTCCACCGGCTTGGGCCTGGCTACTAGTAATGCCGGAAATATTCTCATTTCGTTTTTCACTCAATTGTCGCCGTTAGTAATCTTATAAACGGTAAAATTGTTCGAGTTTATTAATAAATTTTTGTAGGTTAGGTTATATGTCATTTGTCAAAAGTCTTCTTCTTACTACCTATCAAAATATTGGTCTAGTTTGTGGAGTTACTCGGCCAAGTTAATATGTCATTTGTCAAAAGTCTTCTTCTTACTACCTATCAAAATGTGGGTCTAGTTTGTGGAGTTACTCGGCCAATAAATAGCGCTGTCTTCTGATGGATGATCTAATGTGAAATTAATTGGAAATTACCGAATACATTAATTTATTCGCAATATATCAATAGGCTTTAAGTTCGAATGGATGGAATTAAAATTAATTTCGAATAATTTATTAGAATTCTAGTTTTTTTTATAATTTTTCAACGCCGCCTTTGGCAAAGTCAACTTGTGATGCTGCGAGAATCGAAAAGTCCAAGGATAATTTTTTACGAGTATAAGAAAGATGGGACCAAAAGTTCTAGTAAGCGTGACTGTAGATAACAGTTTCGGAACGGAACGTTCACCGCAATGAACACCTCAGGAATTAATTTTTGATATTTTAGCACTTGAAATATACACACAATCGTTCAATCGTTAAATTCACGTAAAATCACCTAAAGAAGCCAACAAATACGCTTGAAATTTACTCGTAGAGAATGGAACCGTTCCAAAATAACACCTTCAAATTCGACGCGCCTCCCTCTATTGACGGGTCAACCACTTAGTTTCTGCACACGCTCTGTTCCGTGCTCAGTCTTTCGCATTCTGTAGTCAGTGTTTCGTGTTGCCGTCAAAAGAAATAATTCATCTCGGTGTGCTTGTGCTTGTATTTACATCTTGTGTATTTACTCTTTATTTACTATTGTTATTCCCGGCTAAAAAATCGAACAAAGCCGCCCGATGAATTGTGAATTGTGATAATCGCGATAATTGTGAATCGTGAACCCTACGAAATGTTGGAATCAACCTAAAGAATGGGCTTTTCGTGGAAAATAGCGGCCCTTTTGACGGCCCTGGTGCTGAGGGCTGACTGTAATCCCCCAGACGAGGCCAGTTCGGGCCTGGAAACAGGTATTTTTACTAGTTGAATGCAATTTAAACGTTTCTAAATTTAATTAATTATTGGTTTTATTAAAAATTGTACTATTTGTACCTTCTTGATCGGTACTAATTTTCAATACTTTCGACATTTTATCCTTTGCTAATTGCGCTTACTTATCTCCCTTTTAAATAACAATTAAATAATAATAAACACTTAATAATCCGAATAATTACCGAAACTATTGCTAATTCGAGTAAACATTTTTCGGTATATTTTTTTGGTGCAACAGTTGAATCAAGTTAGCCTTGTAAAATTGTCACTTTATAATACTTTATGTAAAAAAAAAATATAAATCAACTTTGCACCTGTCCACATAATAAGAGGAACAAATTTACGAGTCCAAAACGTTCCTAAATTTAATCGAACAATACATCACAGAGATCTAATGCATATCACGGAGACCTCCGAAAGGTCAATCAAATTGTTACCCAGCCATTAATTGGTAATGGTCAACGTATGTAAATATTTAGTTGTTATCCATCTAGACCAATCAACTTTGATTTATCAATAAACCAGCGGCGTTCTCGTCAAATTTCATTCGATTAAACGATCCCACATAACCGATAAAACGATTGTTTTTGTTTATCGAATCTACTTTATTCTTTCTTTTCTTCACTCTTCTCCTAATTATCTCTTACTAATCTAATCTTACTAACTGATTAGTGTTGCTCTTTATTCCTTCTCTTCTCTATTCTCTTCTCCTGACCATCTCTTACAAATCTACCAATTGATTAGCATCAGTAATTAGCGCCTTATTCGTGTTAGCAGGTGCCTCTTGCCCCCCGGACCTGTTCCGGTGCACCCTAACGGGCAAATGCATACCCACCGGGTGGGTGTGCGACGGCGAAAAGGACTGCGGGACGCATCCCGAGATGGGCGAGGATTTAACCGACGAGGACCCCCAGCGGTGCGCCGACGACGCCCACTGTCGTTGGAACGAGGCTCTCTGCGGGGACGGTTCCCGTTGCCTTCCCATCCGGAGCTTCTGCGACGGCCGGAGAGACTGCGAGGCGGGCAGCGACGAATGGGACTTTTGCGGGAACGCCACCCGGAATAATTGCGACAGGTACCGTACATTCCTTTCGAAACACTAAAGGTGTATTTTAAAGGTTATATGTTGTAGTTTGAAGTGCTCGTACGGTTGCAAGCCCACGCCGAAGGGGCCCCGTTGCTACTGCCCGCCGGGTAAGAGACCGTCGGATAATCAATGCGTCGATGCAGATGAGTGCGAATTGGAGACATCCTGTTCGCAGATATGCAAGAACACGCAGGGCTCCTTCCAGTGCTCGTGCGTGTCGGGATACAAAGCCGAAGGCGCCGAATGCTCGGCTATTAATTGTACGCAATATACAAGTCGAGTTGTTGAATATATTAACATCTTCGTCTGGTTGTAGTTCCACCATCGGAGCCCCCGTCGCTTCTATTCTCCACACAAACGGAAATCCGTCGGGTGACTCTCGAAGGTAGACCGTTCCCCGGGAATTCCACGCTACACCTTTTGAATAGCAACGCCTTGGAGTCCATCCATCGCAACCGCAGCGTTTGCTACGTGCACCACAATCTCACCAGGGCGTCGCTCGTCTGCGCCGACGTGGACGATTTGAACAGGCGTCGCGGCGTCCCCGTCGAATCCTCCCTGTTGCAAGTGGACTCCGTGCAGCAATTCGCGTCCGATTGGATATCGGAGAACTGGTACTTCTTGGACGACCAGCGGGAGATCATACTCGCTTGTAACGCGAACTTGATCTGGTGCACCGTCATCGTGGAGTTCGATTTGAGCAAACCCAGATCGTTGGCTTTGGATCCCACTGCCGGTTACATGTTCTTTACGAAATGGGGCCATTCGGCGCCGATGGTGGAGCGGGTGAATCTGGACGGTACCGATCGAAGGGCTATCGTAGATCATACGATCGTATATCCGTACGGGGTGGCCGTGGATTTCCCCACCAAGCGGGTGTATTGGGTGGATACTTATTTGGATTACGTCGAAAGGGTGGATTATGACGGTGGAAACAGGAGGACCGTGCTCAGGGGGACTAAAGTACAAAATTTATACGGGATTACTGTATTTCAGGACAGCGTTTTCGTGTCTTCTTGGTACAACAACAGCGTGTTAGAACTGCACAAGTTCAAGCATCTCGTAAAAACTGTCGTTATGAACATTACGAGACCTTTCAATGTTCACGTGTTCCACAGGCAACGGCAACCCGACGGTAATTTTATATCATTTTATATCATTATTCGAACGTTTTATTTTGTAATTTTTTCCAGTTGCTCATCCTTGCAAGCCTCCCAACGGTTGCGATCACCTTTGCATACCTCTTTGGAGCGGTAACGTGGCGATAAAAAAGTGCGCCTGCGCCACCGGTTACACTCTAATCGACAAATCCAAATGCGCGATGAAAATCCCCGATAATTTCCTTCTGGTATCGAAAAGCCGACCGTTTTCCATCAGAGGCATCGATCCGGACACCGGTAACGAAACTATCGTACCACTCCTCGACATCGGTAGACCCAAAGGGTTAGATTTCGACGCCAAGGGCAAAGGATTCTTCTTCTCCGACGCTCAAACTCTCACCATAAACTACGTACATATCGAAAACACGACAAACAGAAGGGTTCTATTGAAAGACACCGTTTGTGATGGTATAGCGTTCGATTGGATATCGAACAACTTGTACTGGACGAGCCTGGATAAAGGCAGCATTTCGGTTACTAAATTAACCAATACAACCGTAACTAGAACTCTAATAGAAAGCAGCAATTACAGTCCAACGAATATAGTGGTAGATCCACAAAACGGCGTCATGTACTGGGCGGATTGGTCGAGTTTATCGCCGGAAAACGGCCGCATAGACACCGCCAACATGGACGGAACGAACAAACGGTCGTTTTTGAGCGAACGCGTCCATTGGCCCAGCGGATTGGCTATAGACCATCGCTCTAAACGGCTCTATTGGTCCGACAAGCATCTGAAGATCATCCAGAGCGTCGACTTGGCCGGCGGCGATCGACGCGTCGAGACGCCCGGCGGCGATTTGGGCAATCCCCACGGCCTCGCCATCGGCAGGCATTTGTATTTTATAGAAATGAATCGAGGCGCTATCGTGGCGTTCGCCAAATCGACGGGCTCTAGGAAGATATACGAGGCCAACATGCCATTGTACGATGTCAAATTGTACGATGCCGACGCTCAAAAAGGTATCAAATATTTAGTACGAGGTGTAGGGCGAAAAGTTCTCGGGTTGGTGCACTGAGGTCGATTCAATTTCCAAAAATATTCTCGTTTCCTCTTTGGGACGTTTCCTCTTTGGGACGAAAATCGCAGTTTTTCATTGTCACACCCGAGAACTGTTCACCTTTCCCTTGCAGTTTAATAACATATTAATAAATTTGATAATAATTTTAGGCGAGAACGATTGCGCAGTATCGACTTGTCCGGAGTTGTGTCTACCCCTGCCCGATCACCGATCGATATGCGCCTGTCGCGACGGTTACACCTGGCGAAACGACGCCTGCGAAAAGGACGCCAACGTCACGACGCCCGCCTACTGCCCGTCGGACGCCTTCCAATGCGTCCAAAAGAAGCACTGCATACCGGACGCCTATCTCTGCGACGGCGTCGACAATTGCGGCGACGGTTCCGACGAGTCCGCCCTACCTGGAGGTACAAACAACAACAAAATCGAATTTTTCGGAAGAAAATGAGCGAATTAAATGTCGTTTGCAGGTCCCTGCGAGAACGTATCCTGCGGCGAGAACCAGCTCAAGTGCGACAAGACGACGTGCATAGCCAAACATTGGGTGTGCGACGGCGAAAAGGACTGTTTGGACGGGGCCGACGAGGCGCCCGACACCTGTTCGCAGATCTGCACGCAGGCGCAATTCAAATGCAAGAAATCGAGACGTTGCATACCGATGGCTTGGCATTGCGACAACGTGCACGATTGTGGATTCGACGATCGCAGCGACGAAACCGATTGCAGTACGTTACGATCTACCGGGTTTACCAATAAATCGTTCCATGTTTAACGCTTTGAGAGTGCGATATGTAAAGCCGGCAACATTGCTTGCTATCGTGCTATGATTGGTCGAATTCGAAACTCGCAAGGAGTAGTGCAGGTTTGATAAGAGACACGATCAACTCCTCGCGAGTTTCGAATTTGACTGGCTATGGCTCGTTAAACAAGGAACTATTTATTAGGGTGGGCGAAGTTGGTGAGCGGGATCGTACCTAATTCGAAACCAAACAGAAAACCAACAGGTTTTTCATTGTAATCGTGTTTTTGTTATAGAAACGGCGGCTTGCGATGTGAACGAATTCGCCTGCAAAAGCGGCCAGTGCATCGCCTCTCATTATTACTGCGATTCGGTACGCGATTGCGACGACGGCTCCGACGAGGCGAATTGCATGCAATGCGATCCGGCCAACGAAGTGCCGTGCAAACCGCGTGATGAATGCTTACCGAGGACGGCGCGATGCGATGGGAAAACCGATTGTCCCGATGGTTCCGACGAAAAGGATTGCGTATCGAAGGTCGAGTGCGAGCTCGATGAGTTTACTTGCTCGAATTTCGAATGCATACCGAAGGTACCTTTTTTTTTCTTTTAAAGTAAAGTATGTAAAGCATCCCAACCCACACCACATTCCATCGTACAATCCAAAAACAAATCGTAATCAATATTAACTAATTAATCCATCAATTTTTCCCAAACAATTAAAGATGTTCGTATGCGATTCCGATTTCGACTGCGTGGACGGCTCCGACGAGATGAAATGCGATCCATCTAGAGTGAAAAACAACACGGCCGGAATTAAATATACAACATCGACGTGCGATGCTCCGCACAAATTGTGCGACAACAACACCAAATGCATCTCGCCGACGAAATTGTGCGACAACAGACAAGACTGCGCCGACGGTTCGGACGAAATCGATCAAATGTGTACAGGTATAAACCGTATACAAACCAATTATTACGACCGATTGTTCGTGTTATTCTTCTCGTTTTAGATCACAACATGACCGAATTCAAGTTGGCCTCGTCCTGCGAGTACCCGTCGAGGTTGTGCGACAACGGCACGAAATGCATCGGCGTCGAGAAATTGTGCAACGATCGAAACGATTGCTCGGACGGCACCGACGAAGGGGCCCGATGTTCGGACATGCTCTGCGAACACAGTTTCGTCTGTTCGCACGATTGTCGCAACGCCCCCGAAGGCCTCATATGCACCTGCCCAAAGAATCTCCACCTACAAGCCGATAAGGTCAATTGCCTGGCGACCCATCCGTGCGAGGCCTGGGGTAATTTTCGTTGCAACGTTTCAAATTTTCGATTTTAAACACGCCTTGCGGTTCCAGGTACTTGCTCGCAACTGTGCGTACCGAGAGGTTCGCGCTTCAAGTGCACCTGCCAGGAGAACTACGTCCTGCAGGACGACGGGTTCACCTGCAAGAGCACCGACAACGGCAGGCCTTACGTGATATTCAGCAACAGGCACGAATTGCGCGGCGTCGATTTGCACACGTTCGGCCTCAAATCGTTTATAGCCAGCTTGAAGAATACCATCACATTGGATTTCTATCATTCCAACGACACCAACGTCATCTTCTGGACGGACGTCATCGACGATAAGATATACAGGGGTACCGTCGTAGGTGGTTCCTTAGGTAACATCGAAGTGGTGGTACAAACCGGTTTGTCTACAGCCGAAGGCCTAGCCGTCGATTGGCTAGGGGAGAATTTGTATTGGGTGGAAAGTAATTTGGATCAAATCGAAGTGGCCAAATTGAACGGTAGCTTCAGAAGAACTTTGGTAGCCGGCGATATGGAGAGCCCCAGGGCTGTAGCCGTCGATCCTAGAGACGGGCAAGTATATTATACATACCATGTGTCTAAGATCAAGCGCTACATTCGAACGCGCCTCTCCACAGTTCGAATGATTCTCTCTTTCTACCGAACTCGAACGATCGGTATAACTACTCTGGACTCGTTTATGCACATTTAACCACGCCGTTAGAATAAACTAAAGTTTTATATATATTTTTCAGGTACCTGTTTTGGACCGATTGGGATAATCAATTGCCGCGCATCGAGCGTTGCTCGCTGGCCGGACTCGATCGCAAGATCGTCGTGAAAGTGGACAACAACGGTTGGCCCAACGGCCTGACGTTAGATTACACCATCAGGCGCATTTATTGGATCGACGCCCGTTCCGATTCCATTCACACATCGAACTACGACGGGGGCGATCGACGCGAGGTGATGCGCAACCACGAGATGCTCTCCCATCCGTTCGCCATCACCGTCTTCGAGAATTTCGTCTATTGGACGGATTGGCGCACCAACAGCGTCGTCAGAGCGAACAAATTCACCGGCGGTGATGTTCGAGTGATACAGCGGACGTTGTCGCAGCCGTTCGATATAAAAATTTTGCATCCGAGCAGACAGCCGAGGGACGAGCGGGGCAATCCGTGCGGTTCGAACAACGGCGGTTGTTCGCATTTGTGTTTGATCCATTCGAATCGGACGTACAAGTGCGATTGTCCGCACGTGATGCGATTGAGCGACGACGATCGAACGTGCGTGGTCAACGAGAAGGTGTTTTTGATCGCTAGAAATAACGAGATACGCGGTGTTGATATATCATCGCCTTATTATCACACGATACCGACCATAAGCATGCCTCAAGTGTTGAGTCCCGTCCAAGTGGAGTATTTGGCGAGGAATAGCACGTTGTTTTGGGCCGATTATCACATTAACGAGATTAAACGGAGTAGTTTAACGCACGGACCGTCCGAAACGCTTTTAGACACCGGTTTGCAAAATCCCACCGGATTAGCGGTCGATTGGATATCGGAATTGCTGTTTATATCCTCCAAAGCCGGTATAACGGTGACTAATCTCAAAGGAGAATACGTTTCAAACATACTAAGCGACGTGAACGTTCTATCGATCGCCGTACACCCTTCGGAAGGTAAATTGTACTGGATAACACCCGAAGCATTGGAGATCAGCAACTCGGACGGTACCAACCGCACTATCATCTCCAAAAACGTAACGGTACACTCCAAAAGCCTCACCATCGATTACGCCTCGTCCACGTTGTACTGGATAACCGATTGGGACGTGTACGCGAGCGGTTTGAACGGCGGTTTACCGAGGAAATTCGGTTTGAACAACGTCTCCGCCATAGCCGTGTACGGCACCAGGTTGTACTACGCCGACGACGACGCCCAGACGGTGCGAAGCGTCGATAAATCGACCGGCGCCGACGATTCCATATTGAGGAACGGTACCGGAGGCGTGCTGGCTTTGAGAATATACGATCCCGACGAGCAGAAGGGTTCCCATCCTTGCGGCGTCGCCAAAGGCGGTTGCCAGCACTTGTGTTTGCCCGTTTCGTCCTCCGAATTTACTTGCAAATGCGCCATCGGTTACAACAAGGATCCGAAGGACGCGTTCCGATGCATTGGAGAAGAGGAGTTTCTCTTCTATTCGATCAACTGGGAGCTACACGGTTTGTCTATCGACGACAGGAACAGTACCACCGTGTTGGGACCCATTTCGCGAGTGTCCAGCGCCACTACCATCGATTACCTAGCCGATGAAGATCTATTATTTTGGGCCGACAGCGACAGAGGTACCATAACCCGAGTGAAACGCGACGGTACCGATAGAAAGTACGTGCTCGATCAGCCGGAGATATTGGAAAACGCCCCGTTGGATTGGCTGACGGGCATGGCGGTCGATTGGATAGCCAAAAACGTGTACTGGTGCGATTCCAAGCGCGGTACCATCGAAGTAGCCCGATTGGACGGTACCAAACAGAACGTTTTGCTATCGTACGAAATCGGCAAACCGAATTCTCTAGCCGTCGATCCCGTTAAAGGTCTATTAGCTTGGGCCGGTGGCGCTAAACTCGAAACTGCCGCTTTGGATGGTTCTAACAGAAGATTACTCATCGACAATGCTACAGCTATATCCGATTTAGTTTTAGATACTAAAAACGAACTGATATACTTCACCGATATACAAGCGAATGTAATCGAAAGGATCGATTATAACGGTACGAATCGAACCGTTGTAATCAACCGAACGTTAGAAAACCCCATCAGTGTGACTATACTAGACGATAAACTCTATTGGCTGGATACCACCTACGAAAAAGGCAGTATATCCGCGGTAAGCGTATCGAATACGTCGGATTACAAATTGTTGATCAACAATTTGGGCGATTCCCTGCGCGATATCCACGTTTTTTCGAAGCGCAAACAGTACGGTACGAACCCATGCGCATCGAACAACGGCGGTTGCGAGCAATTGTGCCTGTTCAACGGCACCCATCCGGCGTGCGTCTGTTCGCACGGCCGTCTCGGCGCCGACGCCAAATCGTGCGAACCGTTCGAGAGCTTCGTCATGTATTCGCGCGTGATCAGCATCGATTCCATACAAATGGTCGGCGACAAGAACCTGCAGAACTCGCCGCACGCCGCCATCAAGAATTCCACCATGCTGAAGAACGCCATCGGTTTGTCGTTCAGCTACCGCCATCGGCGGTTGTTCTATTCGGACATCCAAAAGGGCAGCATAAACGCCGTGTACTTCAACGGTACCGATCATCGGGTGATCGTCGAACGACAGGGTTCCGTGGAGGGTTTGGCGTACGAACAAATCGGGAATTCGTTGTATTGGACGTGTAATAACGACGCTACCGTGAATAGGGTGAATTTAACCGATGGGATGTCGAATTCTTCGGCTGTCGAGACGATAGTGCGAATGCGCGCGCAAGACAAACCGCGCGGTATAGCTGTAGACAGTTGCGGTAGTAGAGTATACTGGTCGAATTGGAACCCACAACAACCTACGATAGAACGAGCTTTTCTCACCGGTTACGGCAGAGAGAGCATCATCAAAACCGACATACGCATGCCCAACGCCATCACGTTGGACCACAAGGCGCAGAAATTGTACTGGGGCGACGCCCGATTGGACAAAATCGAACGGTGCGAATACGACGGCACCAATCGAGTGGTACTAGCCAAAGTCACGCCCCAACACCCATTCGCTTTAGCCGTTTACGGCGATTTCATCTACTGGACCGATTGGATGCTGCACGCCGTCATCAGAGCGGACAAATTCACCGGCCAGTACATCGTACTGTTGCGTCGCGACGTCGCCCGTCCCATGGGCGTCGTCGCCGTCGCCAACGACACCGAAGATTGCTTCGCCAATCCGTGTCTCGTCCAGAACGGTTTCTGCGAGGAACAATGCGCCCTGTCGGCCGCCGGTCAGGTGGAGTGCTCCTGCGGCGAGGGCAGGACGTTGTCGGAGGGCGGCCGGTGTAGGGCCCGCGTCGTCGCCAATTGCACCAACGACGGCGATTCGTTTCGGTGCTCCGACGGCGGTTGCGTACCGTTCCATTTGACCTGCGACGGTGTACCGCATTGCGCCGATAAATCCGACGAGGAGCCGGGTTATTGCGGGTACAGGACGTGCCCGTTGGGTTGGTTCCCGTGCAGGAATAAAATGTGCGTCGCTTTGAATTCGACGTGTAACGGCGTCGACGATTGCGGCGACGCCACCGACGAACAGGATTGCTCCTGTCCCGAGGAGACTCACTTCAGGTGAGTCCGCTAACGATTAACGTTCGATTCATTAGTTAAATCGTTGTGAATTTTCAGATGTAAGAACGGTGAATGTTTGGACATCGCCCATCGCTGCGACAACGAGCCCGATTGTCGCGACAAGAGCGACGAGATCGGCTGCGAGATGCCCGATTGCGTCGAAAAACACGGCGCCGGTTTCGTCAATTGCAAATTCACCACGACGTGCATCCACAAGGATTGGTTCTGCGACGGCGACGACGATTGTTGGGACAATTCGGACGAGGAGAATTGCACGACAACAGGCGTTCCGACGGCGTCCGTCGGTTGTCCCGACGGGAAGTTTCGGTGCTTGAACGGGGATTGTATCGAAGCGAGGGCGCGTTGCGACGGACGGGCGGATTGCAAAGACGACGGCGTCGCGGGCGTCGCCTTCGACGAGCTCGATTGCGATCGATGCGCTGCCGATCGGTTCTATTGCGAGGACGGTTCGAGTTGTTTGCCGATGGGATGGCGGTGTAATGGAGTACCCGATTGCGCCGATCACAGCGATGAAGAAAATTGCGGTACTTAATTATGTTATACCTATATTTCTAAGGTATGGAAAGATGGGTTCTCAAATAACGGGACACATTCTCTAATCCATAAGCATAGGGACATGTCAGACCTTAGAAATATAGGACCTTGTGCTGGCGAGATTTTTGCGAATAGTGGCGAATACATGCTTTTATCACAGTAACCCCACTATTTCACGTTCGAGCGCTAGAATCGTTTATCTTTCCTCATATTTACGACTCAACTGGCGGCCGGTTTTGTTCCTCCTATGGCTCGCTATCCGTATTATCCGCAAACATGTCGCCAATATTGTATTTACGATTGTTTAACTGAAAAGTTTAATATATTCGATAGAGATTCGCTGTCGCTCGGACCAATTCCAATGCTCTAACAAGGAGTGCGTGCCGAAATCGTGGCAATGCGACGGCAATCCTGATTGTTCGGATCAATCCGACGAGAGCCTGCATTGTCAAACGACAGTCTGCGGTAAATACGAATTCCGCTGCAACACCACAGGCCGTTGCATTCCTCTATCGTGGGTCTGCGACGGCGAAGCCGATTGCCAGGACAACGCCGACGAACACGTCCTACAAGTAACTACAATTTCTCTTAATTGTATAGCTCTTATTGTTGCTCTTTATGTTCGTCTTGCAGGGTTGCAATTTCATCAGCTGCAACACGAACCAATTCCGATGCGCCAACGGCCAATGCATCGGCGACATTTACTATTGCGACGGCGATCGCGATTGCATCGACGGCTCCGACGAACCGGCGCGTTGCTACAAAACCGGCGACGTCGCGACGCCGACGACGACGTCTCCGGCTACGGCGCAGCCGCCTGACGATGTTTACTGCAAAGGAGAGGGCTGGTTCCACTGCGACAACGGCGTGTGCATCAACGAAACGTTGCTGTGCAACGGCGAGAACAATTGCGGCGATTTCTCCGACGAATATAAATGCAGTACGTACCAATCATATGTCCAAAATCGAGCGCTGCAATCGGTAGAAAGAGAGAATCCGTCGAACTGTAGCGCACGACCTCGGACACGCGGTGTAATAACCGAATAGCAAGAGACCGTTTGACTGATTTTTTCGTCCGCAGGAATCGACGAATGCTCGGCGAATCCGTCGCCGTGCGCGCAAATATGCATCGACAAACCGGTGGGTTACGAATGCAAATGCAACGCAGGATACACGATCAGCAGGAAGGATCCTCATAGGTGCGAGGACGTCGACGAGTGCTCGGCGAAGAAGCCCTGCAGCCAGACGTGCACCAACACGTTGGGCTCCTATCATTGCGGTTGCGCTGCCAACTACACGCTGCGCTACGACAGGATCTCCTGCAGGGCGGATTCGCTCGTCAAAGTCTCGCTGATCCTGGCCAATCGGTACTACATCAGAGAGTTGGATTTGAACGGGCGCAGTACGCTGTTGGCGCACAATTTAACGAACGCCGTCGCTTTGGATTACGATTGGCTGACGCAGTGCTTGTATTGGTCGGACGTGACCCAATTGGGATCGTCGATAAAGAGGTTGTGCGATTACAAGGCGAACGGGACGCAGGCGGAGATTTTGCATTCGCCTTCGTTGCAGAATCCTGACGGATTGGCGGTGGATTGGGTCGGCAGGAATTTGTATTGGTGCGATAAGGTAAGAATGATGTATAATATGCGTATAAATGTGTGTAAATGTGTTGTTTGTAGGGTTTGGATACGATAGAAGTGTCCAGTTTGGATGGAAAGTACCGCAAAGTGTTGCATTCGAAGGGTCTGGAAGAACCGAGGGCTATAGCTTTGGATCCTATCAGGGGTTACTTGTATTGGAGCGATTGGGGTTCTCGAGTGCATATAGGAAAAGCTGGTAAAATTAGAAATTCAATACACATGCACATGTTGTTATTAATAAATTCTATTGCGTTAGGAATGGACGGATCGGATCCCAAAGTGATCATCAAATCGAACTTGGGCTGGCCGAACGCGTTGACCGTATCGTACGAAACCCAAGAATTGTTTTGGGCCGATGCCAGAGAAGATTACATCGCTCTCTCAGATTTGGACGGGAATAATATCAGAATAGTTGCCAGTAGAGAGCAGAATCCCAAATTACAATTGCACCACGTGTTCGCCATCGACGTGTGGGAGGACTACGTTTATTGGACCGATTGGGAAACAAAAACGGTCGAAAGGTACTGCACTATCACCGCTAGTTTGTAGTAAATCAAAATCAATCGAATCCACTGCTTTTCCACATCCAACAGAACGCAAAAACCTGTAGATATAACGCACTAAACGCAACGTTAATCGTTTCCAGGTGTAACAAATACACGGGCGAGGATTGCAAATCGATATTATCGACGCTACATCGACCGATGGACATTCGAGTGGTCCATCCGTTCAGACAACCCTCCGTCCCGAACAATCCCTGTTTAAAGGCTAATTGTTCCGCTTTGTGTCTGTTACAACCCACGCCGCCTTACTACACGTGCGCATGTCCGGAGAATTACAATTTAAACGACGACAAGAGATCGTGCGCCGCCAATTGCACCACTGCACATTTCGAATGCAAGGTATCACTCTTATACATACAGGTGCGGAAACTCGAACGCGATACTAGCGCCATCTGTCGTGATTACGCAACAACGTTTTAGTTTCTTGACCTGTTATTATACGACCGTGAAACGTCAAATGTCAAAACTAAACCACCACTGGCCTTTTACGTATCGAAAAACCAACTTGATTGTTTGTTTTTTTTTTTTTTTAGTCGAATTTGAAGTGCATACCGTTTTGGTGGAAATGCGATTCGCAAGACGATTGCGGCGACGGATCGGACGAACCGGCCGATTGTCCGCCGTTCAAATGCACGCCCGGTCAGTACCAGTGCAACAACGAACATTGCATACACCCCTCTGATTTGTGCAACGGCAAAAACGATTGCGGAGACAATTCGGACGAGAACGATTGCCGGCATTACACCTGCCTCAATACGCAATTCAGGTAACCAACAATCCCCTATACCTGCTCATCCACAATTTACTCTATATATTTATGAATGCCCGGCAGGTGCGAAGGTAACGCGACGTTGCCGCCCCGCTGCGTCCCGTCGAAGCAACGTTGCAACAAACACGTCGACTGTCCGGGGGGCGAGGACGAGGCGAATTGTCCGCCGGTCACGTGCCCGCCCAATCAGTTCAAATGCCACAACGACAAGTGCATACCGGCCGTGTGGGTGTGCGACAAAGACAACGATTGCACCGACAATTCCGACGAGGAGCAGAACTGCGACGAGCGCACCTGCGGATCGCAGCATTTCAGATGTAATTCGGGAAGGTATGTTGTTTAAATACTACTTGTTATGTAGACGATTTGTAGAACCTAATTTAAAACAGCTCTTATACCTATTCCGATTTCCAGATGCATACCGCACTCGTGGCTGTGCGACGGCGATCCGGACTGTTCCGAAGGCGAGGACGAACCCCCCACTTGCAGCCACCCCGACTATCACACCTGCGATCCCACCTACTTCCGATGCGGCAACAACAAATGCATTCCGGGCCGATGGCGATGCGACTACGACAACGATTGCGGCGACGGCACCGACGAGTCGGGCTGCGCCCCCAGGAATTGCTCCGAATCGGAGTTTCGATGCGCCGACGGGCGGTGTTTGCGCGGCGACATGAAATGCGACGGGGTCTATCAATGCGATGATAAATCGGACGAGATCGATTGTCACGTTCGATGCAAAAACAACGAGTTCCGGTGCGCCAATCCGGCCGTTTGCATCTTCCTGTAAGCCCCTTTTCGGATTGCGCTCCGATCTATGTTTATTGGTTTAGACGCTTTAGACGGTTCTAATTTGGTTCAGAAGCGTTCTAAATCGTTTTACTCTGTTCGTAATCATTCTAAAGGCAGATCTAAACGGTTCTGAACAATTCAGATTCATCTCGAAACCGCCTAAACGATTCTGTACAGCTCTAAAACACCCCTACGCAGTTCTGAATCGATTTGTTTCATAATAATCCTCGTTTGTCCGCAGCACGTGGAAATGCGACGGTGAATCGGACTGTCCGGACGGTTCGGACGAGGCCAATTGCTCGGACACCTGTCCGCACGACGGTTTCCGATGCAGGAGCGGTCTCTGCGTTTACCAGCAGTGGCGCTGCGACGGCCAAAACGACTGCGACGACGGCTCCGACGAACAGAATTGCTTCTCGAACGTTTGCCCGCCGGGACGGTTCCGGTGCAAGAACCACCGGTGCGTACCGACCAGCGCCCTCTGCGACGGCAAGAACCAATGCGGCGATAACAGCGACGAGGACAAGCACATTTGCAGAAGGTACTCTTTAATACTACTACTACTACTTCTTCTTTTATTGCGTGGCCTCTTACGAGATACCACCGCATCCCGTCAGCTTACTAGATTCGTTTGTGTTTTATACTACTACTTATTCTTCTTCTTTTATTGCATCTTTATGGCCTCTTACGAGATACCACATCCATATAGGCATTATAGATTCGTTGGTGTGTTGCAGGTACGGCCTGTGCCCGTCGAACCAATTCGCCTGCAGGAGCGGCGGTCGCTGCGTGGAGGCGTCGCTGCGCTGCGACGGCGCCCAAGATTGCGACGACGGCTCCGACGAGTCGGATTGCTCGCGATCGGCCTGCGCTTGGGACAGTTGCTCGCAGACGTGCGTCGAAGTGCGCAGGAACCGGACGGTGTGCAAATGCCTGCCGGGTTACAGGCACGCCGCCGCCGGTCATTGTCAGGCCGCCGGCGATGCGGCCGAGCTCGTTTTGGCCGCCGAGGCGGAACTGAGGCTGATGTCGCCCTACAAGAGCGGCGACGACGACGGCAAATTGAGGTACGAAGACTTTTACGTTTCTGTTATTACGCTACATAAGTACACGATAAAGTTAAAGTGAAGCGCTGAATACGGGCCCTAGTATATAAAATTTTTGTTTTAGGAAAACTTTGGCGACGGCGCCGGGTTATAAAGTAGACTCCGTCGATATACTGTCGAGCGGTAGACAGGCCGTAGCCTACTGGACCGATCATCAATCGAAGCGAGTGCAATCGATCGTCATTCACGTGGATAAAGACGGTCGATCTAACAGGGACGCCGACGTTCCCAAAACGATATTGTCCGATTTGAGGGATCCCAGAGGGATCAGCGTCGATTGGGTGGCTCGCAGGATATACCTAACCGACGGCGATCGATTATTGGCCGCCACTTTAGACGGAAATTACGTTTATACTCTACTCAAAGGCGATATGCAACAACCCAGGTAACAACACTCGAGTCCTACGATTGACTATACTTCAACCAAAACAAAGTTAGACGCTGGATCAACGCGTGATCACCAATAATTGGCCAGCGCATTTTTATTTTACCCAATAGATGCAAATGTGCTTGATGATCCAGCGTCTAACCTTGTTTTGGTTACTCCGTTGGTTGGATGGATGGAGTATAGTCGAGTACTCATACTGTGTGTTGTTTCTTTAGAGATATAGTCGTGGTGTCTGATAAGGGGGTGTTGTTCTGGGTCGATTGGGGCCCGAACGCTCGCATCGAAACTGCCAACATGGACGGCTACAAGCGTAGAATACTCGTCAGTAATGGTGTGTTATGGCCGACTGGACTAGCCGTCGATCATGGTACCGATCGTCTCTATTGGGCCGATCCCAAGACCTCTACAATCGAAAGCGTCCTCTTCGACGGGTCCGATCGAAGGCTCATCAAGTACTTCGAAAACCCCGACGCGAGGCCGTACAAAATCGACGTGTTCGAGGACAATCTGTATGTAGCGACGCACGACAAGCACGACATACTGCGCATGAACAAATTCGGCAGAGGCAACGCCACCTATTTAGTGCGCGGTCTCACCCGGATCTCGGATATATTGATCTTGCAGGAGAACAAGCACGCCAAGATGAACAACACCTGCTACGATTATTGCAACGACAGCGAGTTTTGTTTGTTGACGCCGAAGGGCGCCACTTGTACTTGCCCCGATGGTTACGTCAAGGATAATTTGGTGGGTGTTGCGAGCGCACTTTACACTAGAGTTTGTTGAATTGTTTGTTTGTTTTGTAGACTTGCAAAGCGGCCTCGTCGAGAGCCAACGAATGCTACTTGAATTGCCACACGGGCGCCTGTAAAATTATCCCGGGACAGGGTCCGAAGTGCGTCTGCCCGCCGCAGTACAAGGGCGTCAGATGCGAGATATACAGGTGTTCGCAGTACTGCAAGAATCACGGCATGTGCTACGTGGATTTGCTATCGAGTTTAACAGTAGACTCGAAACCGCCTTTGAAGTGTAACTGTCCGCCCCAATGGACGGGGCCCCGTTGCGAGACGCCTTTGGATCTATGCGAAGGTTACTACTACATTGATTTAATAATAAACGAGAGATAGAGATGGAATTTTGGTTTTGTAGGAAGATGTTTCAACGAAGGAACGTGCGTTACGTTGGAAACTGGAGCTCCACATTGCTCCTGCAAACCAGGATACACAGGAAATCGGTGTCAAAATTGCGAGAACCTTCATTGCTTAAACGGGGGCGTTTGTTTAGCGCAAAACGGGAAAGAAATTTGTTCTTGCCCGTCCGGTTACCGAGGCAAGTCGTTCATTCATTCGACTCTAAAAGGATATCCCTTTAGGATAGCCTTTAAAATCGTTTTATTTGTCTAATTTACTATATTATCGCTCAGGCACCTCCTGCGAATCGTCCTCCTGCGGTCCCTACGGCAAACCGGTAACCAACGGTACGAAGTGCGCCTGCTCGCCCGGTCGTTCGGGCGTCCATTGCGAACGCGACGCCTGCGACGGCCATTGTTTGAACGGCGGAACGTGCCGTCGCGGCGCCAAATCGATCGATTGTCTCTGCGGCGAATTGAACGCCGGCCGGCGCTGCGAAATCGATCTGTGCTCGGGCCGGTACCCGCCCGAGGGCTGCGCCGATCGGTGTTCGTGTAAAAACGGCGGCGTTTGCGTGCGTCCCGACGACCAGTCCGACGACGTCGTTTGTCAATGTCTCGAAATGTACTACGGGTACACTTGCGATGTAAGTGTTGCCTACATCAAGGCGTTAAAATATATGCGTGTAATGAATCGATTTTTTTGTAGAAATATCTGTTGAGTCCCAATCCGTGCATGAACCGGTGCTTGAACGGTGGAGTTTGCGTACTGCCCGATCCGGATCGACCGCCGATTTGTCATTGTACAAGAAGTTGGACGGGGGAGAAATGCGAACGGTTGAAATCCTGCGAGAATTATTGCTCGAACGAGGGCGTTTGTACCGTCGTCGACGAACAACCACGTTGTGTCTGCCCCGAAGGCTTTACTGGGATCAGGTAGGCATTTTAGTGGCCTCTTACGATGCAGGTATTCGTACAACTAATGTTTATTCGTGGGGTTGTTGCAGGTGCGAATCGGCTAGCGTGAACGGGGAGGAAAGAAGCAGCAGGAGTGAAGTGGTGGTGCCGGTTCTTTCCGGCATCGGAGTCGTGATAATCCTGCTGATTATCGGATTTTTGGTGTTCGAATACGCCTTTAAGAAGAGGACGGCGACTTTTTCGCACGAGCGATTGCACGAGAACGATTTCAGCAATCCCATTTACCAGGAGAGGGACGCCGAGCCGTTTACTTTGGATTCTGATAAAGTACGAAATTAGATATATTTTTTTATGTATTGTTAATTTGTTTATTTGGTTTTTAGTCGGGCAATTTCGCGAATCCCGTCTACGAATCGGTCTACAATGGTTCCGGTAGCGTGAAAGAAGAGAAAGCGGTTCTATTAGAGCACGATGTAGATGAAGCCGTGAGGCCTCAAACCGAGGAGATTTGAGGCTCTCGTTTCGAAAGGTGAGGCGTCAATTACGCTTCGTTTTGATAGATATTATTTAAATAGGATTAAATTAATTGCTGTGACTCGTGCCATGTCGTTCAGGTGGTTAGTAATTTGGTTATTTTTTTTATTATTATTTTTATACCCTGTTAGTAACGAGAAAATTGTAATTGTTCGGGGTATATAATGGATAAGTAACAAATCATACGTCCTTGTAAATAATCGTGACTGATGTTTAGATATTATTATTATTATTATTTAGATATTTTATACACTAATAATTGCGAAACTATACCGGGTGTACTGTTGACTACTCTGACCTATTTACAGTTAAAATTGGGACGCCCTGTGTAGTTTTTTTTGTATTTGCGTATTACAAATGGTTGTGTATATGTTGATTAGTTTGGAAATTCGAGAATTAGGATCATTCTGTATATAAAAATTGGAATATGAATCGTATTTTCAAACGGAAATTTTTAGGGCAGCTATTTAGGTGATTTTCTAAACGATTTGTTCATTTAATTGCTCAAACAATAATACTCAAATTATACCGATTTTTTTTTATTTTCTTTGTTCGTTTAATGCTCAAAGATTTTTTTACTTTTATAATGAATGGTGCTGTTTCACTTATTACTCGACTCAAAAAAAGAAAGGAATATTATTAGTTTTAAAATAAGTTTAGAGTGTAATGTTTTATATTACCTGATCTGTTTTCGTATTTATATAAATTGAATAAATGTATGTAAAAAAATTTTGAAAAGGTTATATTTATTCCGAGTTTCCGGACCTGCATATGAAAGACCGCAAGTTTCCGTCACTTTTTTGTTCCGTGAATCTGTCATAGTTAGTCTATGTCAAGTTCTGTCCTTTTGATTCAAAATTCCCGTCACGTTCATCAAATTTATCCCGTAAAAACAACTCGTTCGAAATATATTTCAAAAATGCAAAATTGCTGTTTCTGCTTACCCAAAATCTTCAATTTCCTGCCGCCGTTGCCCGACCTCCAGGAGTACCAGCACCCGCCGTTCCTCTTCACCTTGTGGTACCTGATGCTCGGCATCGATAAAATAGCGCAAGTCATCGATGATTTAGTGAACGGCGAAGGCGGCGATGAGGAAGAATAGCGCGCTAATTTTTTCAAACTGGTGAAAATGTTTCTGCCAATTATTTGTATGTCCGATACGAAGAATCGTCCGGAGAGTGAACTGATTGATCCGCCGCCATTTTGAACGAGGAACCGCCATCTTGAATAAACCCATTGTAGATGAAATAAATAAAAAAGTGCGCCCAAGTTTTTGTTTGTTTATTTATTAGTACTAAGAGAACTTTAACGCTTTATGTAGAAAACTAGCGTTATTTTTTTGTCATGTCGTTATCGGTATTCGTGTTTTGCATTAATTTTTGCTTTTTACTAAAAGGTCGACGGAGAAGCAGGTCACTAACTCCTTTAATTCGTTGACCATCGAAAATATCACCGTAAACTCGATCTAGAACAGATTTATTCATTAAGTAAATTACTAAAAATGACGGGAACTGATTAGCATAGAAACAGTATTTACTTACCTTCGGGAAAAAGCTATAAACCTGCAACTTATAAATATAATCGATAGTTTCTCCTGCAACAACTGGACACACGGTGTTCAAGATCCCCTCGCAACCATCCTGTTGATTAGGCGGTACAGGTACCACCGCTCCGAGCGCGATTACTGTTATATTCGGCTTCAAACTTTCGAAATAAATCGCTGAAAATCACTAGCCGTTCGCTTTTACAACGCAAAATGAAAATCGACAAAAACTTACAGGATGAAAAGTTGACTTGCATTTCGGCCACGGCCCCCAAGAAAACCGGACAGGGCGGCGCTTCGCAGGCGAGACCGTTCGAAATGATGTTGACCGAGGGTACCGAATCCACGCCTTCACCTGTTGATCAATTCGAAAGGCGATCAAATTTTCGAATTTTCAACCGTTCCGCTGCGGAACGGTTCCTTGTAAAAAGAAAGTGCCACCTCTAACATTATTTACTGATAGATGTCATAGTTGTCATTTTTGATTGTGTCTAAGGTTACGATGACGGATGTATTACAATAAAATTATTTATCGATATAATTGTAATACTTACATTTATTTACCAGGATTTGCGTGGAAAATGGTACTAATGTTAACAGAGTCACTAAAATAGACGCCTTCATTTTAACAAAACTGCAACGTTCGAATCTTTATTATGATTATCGTGAAATTAAATTGAAAATTTTTATTCGCTTTGTTATAACAGATAAGATTAAGGATTATCTTATTTTGGAGTGGCGACTAAAGGTTAAATGGTTACAGGTGTTCATAAGAAACAGAGATAGCAGAAACAAAATTGTTCTGTTAATCCCGCTTACTCATAATGTGGGCCTTTTACTTAGAGCATAATATGTCACCAATAATCTAAAACTAGGCAACCAATTTAACACCTTTCAAATGTCAATGAAGACAACAGGGCCGTACTAAGAAATTTTGCGACCCTTAATCATAACGTTTATTTGCTACCTAAAATACAATTAATTTATTCATTAGTCTTCTCTAAGATGCTTTCGAAATCCGTTCCGGCGTTTAAATGGCCGACGAAAGGATTCCTATCTCCACCAATCGACGATTCTACTTCGCTACTAATTCCCGACGTACCGGGATTGTTGAATAATTCCTCCGTATCTTCCTCATCGTCGTCTTGTTCTAAAAAAATATCGCAGTAAGCGAACGGAACAGCCGAAAACTAAAAAGCCCTACCTAAATAAGTAGGATACCTATATCTGTCTTTCCAAATGGTGTACAAAAAGTAAATTCCCATTGCTATTAAAACGAGCGTGATGAGAATGAGTAAAATCCGAAACATGTTTACCTACAAAACAAAATTAAACAGCTATCGTTATTGTCGTATGTCAAATGTCATAAAAGTGGAGTTGTGTATTAGAAAAGGATAGCATCATACTTTAGTGTCGTGCTCGTATACTTCTTCCCAGTCCTCCAAAACCACCATTCGCACTTTATCCATTTTAGTGTCTCCCCCTCGGACGGACCTGGAGACGCACCTGTAAATCCCCTCGTCATCCTTCGATACGGCCTAACAACAGAAAAATTTGTACAATTCCGCGTCACTGCGCACGCTCGACAAGCATTCATACCAACCCGAATTAGCAAATTCCCCGATAAAACTTCGTAATCGAATTTTCCGACGTCGAATTTGGAATTGTTGGTCGGGCCGATGGACGAATTATTATCTAATATCCATTGTTGGAATAGATAGTTGTCGGTGTTGCTCGTGCAGGGCAATATGGCGTCGCTGCCTATGGGGACCTCTTGGAGCAGCAGGCTGTGATTAGAGTCGATTGCTGCGATCCGTTTGAGCGAAACTATCGAACAAATGACGAGGAAATAATGCATGGCACGCGCTGATGTAGTTAATTGAAACTGAGGTTTCTTTGGAACGTATCGCGGCCTACTGCGTCCGTATAATGACGTTTATTTTTATTTTTAGATTGTTAGGTATATTTTTAGTTTTAGTATAGCAAAAAGTAGCGTATTGTTTTTTTTTTGTTATTTTTCGTTAATTCGATGAGTGATTAATTGTTTGTAGGTGTTTTTGTGGTAAAATAGAGAATTTTTCTGAGATTTATTGAATTGTAGGTATTGGTAGGCAACCATTTTTACACTAATGTATTTTTGATGAAATTTTCACAAGCGCGAGTTAAAGTAAGTTTGTACATGGAAAATTGTATTCGTACATAAAGATTTTAGTGGAATTGCAGTTTTTTAATAAATATTACGAATAAAAGAGTAGATTTTTTTGTGATAAATAAACATTTATATTGAAATACGAGTATAAATCATTTATTAAAATAGTCAGGTTGGCCGAGCGGTCTAAGGCGCCAGATTTAAGCTCTGGTTCCCGAGAGGGAGCGTGGGTTCGAACCCCACACCTGACAAAATAAACTTTTTCGTTTTTTTTTCACATTTTACTTCGATAACAATGGATTACTGTTTTGCAATTTAGGAAAATTATATTCCTTATCGAGTGTTAATTGAGTAAAATTCCGTTCGTTCTCTCAACAATAATAACTTTCTATAATAATATGTATACAAGGTGAGTCTGATGTTTGTTTCCTAAATAGAAGATGGCATATACGAGGGTAGGGTGAAAAGTTCTCGGAAGGTTTTCCTCGTACAAATGCATATTAGGAAGAATCGATCTACTAAATCGATTTCAAGGAATTTTTCAGCCGTTTTAGGACATCCAACAATTTCCTCGTTCGCGTACAGAGCGAGCCAAACAAATCAACAACAAAAATCTTCCGTTATTAACCTTTTTCCCAAAAATTTTCAATGGACAAGATCGCAATTAAAAGGCCCGATTAGGCGATGAACCCGCACTGGAGAGCGATAAAATATTATTTGTTTGTAAATCCGCTTTATCGTCAATAACAAAACAAGACGCGATCTTCGCCTATAACTCGGATTTCGGGCAAATCACGTGCTCCTACGTACGGGCGATTATCGCCTAGGAAGCTCCGAAGTCCGAGAGTTTCCCCACAGAAATTTATAAATTCGCGGGGCCCGGCCGGGAGCGCCTTAGTCGACGATTTATTCCGCCCCGATTTGCTGTGTTTGTTTTTTTAATTTATTTCTTATTTTACATTCGGTGGAAAACCATGAGGGGGTTGTTCAAATTGCCCGTGCAAGTTTTCGCCCTCAGGCCGAACGCCTTAGGGGTGAATGGGGTTGTTTATACCAGAAATTTCGGCACCCATCACAATCACATACAGGTTAGTTTTATTCGATTAAATATCCGATTTTTTCTTCGATTTACTAATGCGTCAGCGATCCCGGTTTATCAACGTGATGTTGTTATTTTCGAAAATCGAATAAAAAAGAGCGTGTATATCAAAGTACAAAATTCACAGTTTATCGGGAATTTATTTCGAATCAAAAAAATCGATATTTTGAACCGTTTTGTTTACCCGATTTCTAATCGATTTTTTTTCGCTCGCCCCGTACGCAAACAAAGGACCTCTCTCACCTTTCCTAATGCAAAAAAAAACCATTCTTTATTGTTAAGTAGTAGTTGCGCTTTCGCACGATAAACATGGCGAAAAATAAGGTAATATATCGCAGCTAAAAAGGTCCTTTTTGAAAGGCAAATTGCACGAACTCAAAATCGATTTAAATCGCTTGCAGGTGCAATTCGAAAAGCAGGGATTATTGGACAGGAAACAGTCGACGTTCACCGACAGGAGCCAATTGAAGTACGCCCGAAGGCTGGTGGTGAAACTTGGAAGCGCCGTCATCACCAGGGAGGACGAGCACGGTCTTGCTCTTGGCAGGCTCGCTTCGATCGTCGAACAGGTGCTGTAAAATCAATCGATTCCGAATCGATTTTTAATCGATGACGGGAATTTCCAGGTGGCTGAATGCCAGAACGAGGGCAGGGAGTGCATTATGGTGACCAGCGGGGCCGTGGCCTTCGGGAAGCAGAGGTTAACGCAGGAACTGCTGATGTCGCTGTCGATGAGGGAGACTTTGTCGCCCACGGACCATACGAGAGAGGTGAGTTCTGTCATCTGTCAGAGATCTGTCAAAAATCCATGTGTCAATTGGAATAGTTGTCCAAGGGCGAGTTGATTTTGCAAGTGATTGGATGGTAGCGATAAAAGGAATTTTCGAAAATCGTGCGTTTTGATTTGAATAAATAAGGTCATGATCGCGAAGGAGAAGGTCCTGTGCGCAAACAGATAAATTAAAAACATGTCGAAATTTTGTAAGCGTGATCCGATATGTCAATAGCGCGGGGAAAATAAATAATAACAATTAAATTCATTCGATTTTTCTACGGAAATGTCCGTGATATTTTTTTGTTTGGAAATTTTTAACGGGGGGTGGATAAATTAGTAATCATTTAATAAAATAACTAACTAGATTTATACAAAAGTTACTTTCTCTCAACTTCTACTAACTTTTTTAATGCCAGTTTTAAACATAAAATATCCTAAAAATGTATTTGTAAATATGAGAAAAATCTGCACAAACTATTCAAAATTTAATCCAACTTACAACTTTTATGCAACGATTTAAATTCCACAGGACGCCCCGACGCTGGTCGAACCCCGAGCGGCCGCCGCCGTCGGTCAATCCGGCCTCATGTCCCTCTACGACGCCATGTTCTCCCAATACGGCGTCAAAATCGCCCAGGTGCTGGTGACCAAGGCAGATTTCTACAACGAAGAGACCAGAAAGAACCTGATGAGCACGCTCGCCGAGCTGATCAGCCTCAACATCGTTCCCATCATCAACACCAACGACGCCGTCTCGCCGCCGCCCCAGATCGACGAACCCATCGGCGGCAAGCCGGGCAAGAAGGGCATCTCGTTGAAGGACAACGACAGCCTGGCGGCCATGTTGGCAGCCGAAATCCAATCGGATTTGCTCATACTCATGTCTGATGTTGATGGTACTAATATACATTTAGAGTAGGTTTCGTTTTTTGGTTATAACAGATGCGTTTTCGGTGCACCAGGTATCTACAACAAGCCGCCTTGGGAGGAGGGCGCCAAGTTCCTGCACACGTTCACCTCGGACCTCAGGAACACCATCGAATTCGGACAGAAATCGAAGGTGGGCACCGGCGGTATGGACTCCAAGGTGACGTCGGCCACGTGGGCGCTGGACCGCGGCGTCTCCGTGGTCATCTGCAACGGGATGCTCGACAAGGCGATCAAAACCATACTGTCGGGAAGGAAGGTGGGCACCTTCTTCACCGAGCACTCGCTCGGCGGGCCGGTACCCACCGAAGCCATCGCCGAAAACGGTAACAAAACACACACCGATCTCAGCGATTTAAACCGATTTAAATTCCTCCTGCAGCTCGCACGGGCGGTCGCATCCTGGCGACCATCACGCCGGAGCAAAGAGCCTCCTGCGTGCACACGCTCGCCGATCTGCTGTTGTCCAGGCAAGCGGACATCCTGGACGCCAACCAGAAGGACCTGCAGGAGGCGAAGAAGACCGGCCTGGCCAAGCCGCTGCTCTCCAGGCTGTCGCTGACGCCGGCCAAGCTGAAGAACCTCGCCGTGGGGTTGCAGCAGATCGCCGACAACAGCCACCGGAACGTCGGCAGGGTGCTGAAGAGGACCAAGCTGGCCGACGGGTTGATGCTGAAGCAGATCACCGTGCCCATAGGAGTGCTGATGGTGATCTTCGAGAGCAGGCCGGACTCGCTGCCCCAGGTCGCCGCTTTGGCGATCGCCTCCGGTAATGGTTTGTTGCTTAAAGGCGGTAAGGAGGCGGCGCACAGCAATAAGGCTCTGATGGGGTTGGTGACTGAGGCTTTGAAGACCGTTGGTGCCGAAACCGCTATATCTTTAGTAAGAATTACTTTAGTGGTAACTCTAGGGGTTGTTTTGCTCATCTTACCATCACCAGGTATCGACCAGAGACGAAATCAGCGATCTTCTATCGATGGAGCAGCACATAGACCTCATCATACCGAGAGGTTCCAGCGACCTGGTGCGCTCCATCCAACAACAAAGCCAGCACATCCCGGTGATGGGCCACGCCGAAGGCATCTGTCACGTGTACGTCGACAAACAGGCCGACCACCAGAAGGCGCTGAAGATCATCAGAGACTCCAAGTGCGACTATCCGGCCGCCTGCAACGCCATGGAGACGTTGCTGCTACACAAGGACCACATGGAGGGGGAGTTCTTCAGCGACATCTGCAGCATGCTGAAGGGCGAGGGCGTCGCCATCAACGCCGGCCCGAAGCTCAACCGGTTGCTCACCTTCGGCCCGCCGCTGGCGAAGACCATGAAGCACGAGTACGGAGCGCTGGAGTGTTGCATCGAGGTAGTAGACGGGCTCGACGAGGCCATCGATCACATACACGCCTACGGGAGCGGGCACACCGAGGTCATCGTCACCGAGAACAGTAAGTTTATCCTCCCCCAGGTCCTTTTGTAACTTAATTTATTTACACCTGGTGTTGTGGTTTGTAGAAGACAACGCCGAGGCCTTCCAGAAGAAGATTGACAGCGCATGCGTGTTCCACAACGCCAGTTCGAGGTTCGCTGACGGTTTCCGGTTCGGTTTGGGAGCGGAAGTGGGAATTAGTACGGCGAGAATCCACGCCAGAGGGCCGGTGGGGGTTGAAGGGTTGTTGACCACCAAGTGGATCCTCGACGGGGACGATCACGCGGCGGCGGATTTCGCGGAGGGCGGTAACAGGACGTGGGTGCACGAGTCCCTGCCGGTTGATTGATTAGCTAATGTTAGTAGGCGTGTTTGTTTAGTAGGCGTAATGGTATTTAAGTTTGGAAAATTGTTTTGTTTGTATAGGTATTTGTTTTTTGTGTATAATTTATGAAAATAGTCGAAACGAACGATTTGTTGGTAGTTTTGAAGAAAATACTTGCGACGTGGCAACGGTGTAATGTTTTGACATATGTGACGTCGTCGCCGTATTGGCGTGAATTTATTGTGTTTTTGTTAATGTGTGATAATAAATGTAAGTTTCTTACGGATTTGTTTGGTTTTTTAATTCGATATTAGCGATTATTAAACGAGTCTTATATCTACAGGTGTTCAGTCAAAAAAATTAAACGTCAACTTAACTGGGAGAATTATCTTAAAAGATAAAGGCCAATAATAGACAAGAAAAAGAAGAAGAAATAAAACATTGATATTGTTTGCAATATTTGTTTAGAAGAATATTCCGTTTATTTTCGATTGATTTTATTAAAAATAAGAGTATAAAATAAGAAAATAAAAAAAAACGCAAAAAAAGAGAAGAACAAAAAACCGGCAACGTAGGATTCTGTTCCATATTGTCAAATGTCAAATACGTCATTTGTCATAATCGATGATTTCGATGAACAATTTTCTACAATATTAAATTAACTTGTGGCCGCATCAAAAACCGGAGAAATTTCAGTGTCGCAAAGGAAAAAAACGAATTAAAAAGCAGGTAAATACGCGAAAAAACCCCGTCCAGTCGCAGTACCGGCGACATCACTCGAAAAAAATCCGGATTTGTTATCGTTCTGACACATCCGGCGATTTGTGTCACCCGAAAAAAATCCTCTCGGTTCGGGAAAAACCCGTCGGTATTTTCCCAATCAAAATTCCAGTTGTAACGCCCTTTCCAGTTTCCATTTACCAACTACAAATCGGGCGATCGTGAAACGAAGATATTCAAGATATATTCCGGTTTATTTTTAGCACCAACTTCGCGTTGGTTACACAGTTTTCTCGCCGGTATTTTTGCACCATAACGGTACCTATTTAGGAAAAACCGGTACGGCATTAAATCATCCCGATAAGGTCGTTAATGAAGCAAGTTTCATTTAAAAGAAAACCGATCTTAAATGTTTTCACAACCTACCACACCCAATTGCATTCATTCACACATATCTTCCATTAGCTCTAGAAAGAATCATTGCAAAACAATTCGAACTATACCAAGTATAATAATCCAATATTTCTGTTTTGTAGACATGGCTGTAAACGTATACTCGACCAATGTTACGTCGGATAATCTATCGAGGCACGACATGCTGGCCTGGGTCAACGAATGCCTCCAGAGCCAGTTCACCAAGATAGAGGAGCTCTGTACGGGGGCCGCCTACTGCCAGTTCATGGACATGCTCTTTCCCGGCTCGGTGCAACTCAAACGGGTGAAATTTCGAACCAACCTCGAGCACGAGTACATCCAGAATTTCAAGATCCTCCAAGCTTCGTTTAAAAAAATGCAAGTCGATAAGGTAAACGGAGATGATTATAGATGTTATAGGGTATCGAATTGGTTTACGGGGCGATTTCTCTGGGTGTAAAGGATCTACAGCCACACGAATGGAATTGTACCGAGTGGCTGTAGATCTATAGAAATGGCCTCGTCGATGGGATTCGATTTGTATTTGTGTATATCTAACGGTGCGACGACGCCGGTGTGGGGGTTTTGCACGTTTCCAGGTCATCCCCGTAGATAAACTGATCAAAGGCCGGTTCCAAGACAACTTCGAGTTTTTGCAATGGTTCAAAAAGTTCTTCGACGCCAACTACGACGGGCGACAGTACGACGCTGCGGAGGCGCGCGGCGACGCCCCCATCGGCGCCGGCGGCGGCGGCGTCGGCGTCCACCATCATCAGCACCACAACTCGTCGTCGGGCGGCGTCGTCTCGGCGAAGCCGCGCGCCCCAACGAGACAGGGTAACCAATCGATGTGCCCCCTTTTTTTTTCCTTCGCATGCCTACAATATTGGCTTTTCGTTTGAGAGCTTTGCATGTGGTGAATGTTACAGTGGCTGGATAACTCTCTTGTGAGAGACCGGTGCTCTTATAGCTAGTTTAAGGTGTAGGAGGCCGGTGCTCGTACGTTAAGGTGTTAAAGTAGCTAGTTTACTTACATGTGCGAGGCCGGTGTTAGTGTAGCTGGTTGCTTGAATGTATGAGGCATGTGTTTTGATATCTAGAGAGGCATTGTGGGGGTATTTAACGTGATTTTTAATGTACTGTAAATAATTTTAGGTGTGTAGGAAGCATACGATTTGTCGATTCAACTCGCGCTGGAGGTTTTTATTTATACATAAAATTTTAGTGGTTATTATAATTTGTTTAGTAAACGGGTTCGATTCGATTGAAATCTAATGCAGGACCGGAACTTTCGCAGATCGTGGCGGTGGATAAGTTGATCAAGGGCCGGTTCCAGGACAATTTCGAGTTCCTGCAATGGTTCAAGAAGTTCCACGACGCCAATTACGCCGGCGGCGGCGAGTACGACGCGAGGGCGGCGCGCGGCGGCGAATTTTTGGGCGGCTTCGAGATGAGAAAGTCGGCGCGGGAGGCGCTGCGGAGCGTCGCTCGTCGTTCGATTTTACCGATGCCGAAGAAGCCGTTTGATGTCGAGAAACCGAAGGCGAATCCGAAGGCGCCTCGTACGTTTCCGCAAAATAATCGATTCGATTCGATTAATCGATAAGAACCCACAGCGGCGAGTTGTTTGGATGATTCGACTCGAGCATTGCATGTTTAAACCGCTTGTAGCACCGCTCTGATCGATTAACAAAAACGTTTAACATTAGTTTTAAGTTATTAATGTGTTATAAAATTGTAGTGCCCAAGGCGACATCGAAGCAAAGTTCGATAAAGTCCCAGCCGTCGGTGACGAAAAATCAGGCAGGAGACGCGAGTAAAATAGAAGAATTGACGAATCAATTGGGCGAATTTAAAGTGAGTGGATTTTTTGTTAGTCCGGAATCGATTTTACGAGAGATAATTGTTACAGCTGACTGTGGAAGGACTGGAAAAAGAAAGGGACTTTTACTTCGGGAAATTGAGAGATATCGAAGTGGTGTGTCAGGATTCCGGGGAGGAGCAGACGAGCAAAGAGGATTTGATGCAAAAAATCTTGGATATTCTTTATGCTACAGAGGTTGTATATATTTTTATTATTTGTAAGTATATTTTTATTAATCGAATGCGATTTGTTTTTAGGAAGGATTTGCTCCGCCTGAAGAAAGCGAAGGAGAAGGCGAGGCGGACGAGTATTAATCAAACTGCGGATCGATGTTGCGTTAAATTATTAATAAATTACATATTAAATGACTACACGAAAAGAGGATTTTTTTTGTAAACGTTTATTTGGAATTATATATAAAGATAAGTTGAGTTATGGCTTCTTTTTGTGCGCATCCGATACTGTTCAATTGTACCTATACAAGGGTGAGGTGGAAAGTGATTCGGGAGCGTTCTAAATGATTCAGGCTGAGAACTTTTCACCCTACCCTCGTAGGAAGGGAAGAGTAAATATATATTCCAAACAAAACTACAAGTTTACGAAATTTTAACGTTTATTTGGTTAATTGTAGGTATATATACAAAAATTGCAGGCTCGTTTTTTTTTCAATCCGTATATAGTCCGGCTCTCGAATCGAAACGGCTGCAAATGTCGCTCACAAACTATTCCACTTTTGAAATTTCATTTTTCTAACTCTCCTACCAGGGAAATTCAACAATAACTGATACATTCTCCTAATAAACAACAACTAATTAGAAACCAGCCGTCGTCAGCGCGCATATGCAAAAAAAAAATGTCCAAAATCCAACACCGTTATATTCAATTTTACCCGATTTCGACCCGCCCAAAAAGATATGTCGGAAAATACAACTAGATAGGTAGATAAAAACGAATCATTTCGAGCAACATCTAGGTATAGCGAGCACGCACCGGAACGCATCGAGACATTGCCTAATTAGGATATATTAATCATCATCTATAACGAACCCTGTGCGAGCCTGCTGGGCGTGCTGGTTCCTCTGCAGGATGTTCAAGCACTGCGTCAGGCAATGCAGCGACGCCGCCGACGTCGCCTTCAACAGCAACATGTTCTGATCGATGAAATATTTACTACCTGCAATCAAACAATTTAGTATCAAACGTTGATTGTAATTCTAAGTAAATTCGTACCGGCCGATTCGATCGATCTACACAGAGCCGAATCCGCTTGTTCGGTGAGCTGCAATTGAGCCCTGGCGCACCCGAGGGCGTCCAAAACGGCCAGGTGTTCTCTAGGAGGTAGCGGTGGACAATTCGCGCTGATCGCCTGCGTAACAAAACCGCCCCGATTAATCGATTAACTCCATCCTATTAGCTACACAACCACCTTCGTATGCGATTCGGCCACAGCCCTCAATCCGTTAACCCATTCTTGTCGGGCCCGAGCATCGGAGGCCCGCAGTTTGAGCATGTCGCCCGAGGCGCAGTTCACCGTGAAGGTCTTGGAGTCCTCCTCGCTGGGGCAGATGACGGCGCCCGCCAGGTGGACGGAGCCCCGTGGGACGGCGCCGTCGGGCTTCTCGCCCTCGCAGAGATAGTAGTGCAACAGGCCGGCGTTGGCGTCCACCAGGAAGTAGCGGTACTGCCAGCCCTTCATCACGTTCGTGTACTTGTACAGTTGGCCGGAGAACTGGCGCTGCTTCGTGTGCAGGTCCATTACAGACTGAAAAACGATAACAGAAACTGTACGTTACCAATGACATGTCGACTCGGGTGGCTAGATGATTGTAAATAGACTTAACCTCGACTAGTTTGTTTTGTGTCATTTAACGGTTTAATTGTCGGTTCGTTTCGAACGTATCTACCATAATTCGACTAAATTTAATTTATCTAAGATAAATAGAACTAATTTATTTACATTATTTTTGTGTTGACGTACATTGACAGTTTGACACTCTTGACACATACGTCAAAATAGCCTACCTTCTTTTTCCTTAAGTGCCTCGCACTCTACGGTTATCCAAACACCATTTGACAGTGACACTCTTGACACATACGTCAAAATATCATACCTTCTTTTTCCTTAAGTGTCTCGTACTCTACGGTTATCCAAACACCATTTGACAGTGACACTTTTGACACATACGTCAAAATATCCTACCTTCTTTTTCCGTAAGTGCCTTGTACTCTACAGTTATTCTACCACCATTAGATAAGATAAAATGGATAATTTGCAATAATCTACTACTCATACGCTTAATTTATGACTTACTACTAACCCTCAAACATTGACAGCAAATGTCCACAAGAAAAAAAACTCCCGACCTATAACTAACGTCGAGCCTTCGAAAAACTCCCCCGATGCCCCACGACCGTTCATGATTTCCCTGATCAACGGTCTCAGGAGGCTAAGGCAAGCGAGTCGCGCCTGCAGGACGAATGCCCTGCGAGCAGCGATCGGCTGCGCCCCCGTCCGGTGCATCCCCGTGGTGATGCTGATGCCGTCGGGACGCCGCCAAGCGACGCCCCTCAACGGCGGCGCCTCCATCAGCACGGTGATCACCAACGTGGACGTCGAGGAGAACATCGGCGAGCTGCTCAACCTGGTGAAGCTGGCCATCGACAAGGGCGAGCTCGACAAGGCCGAGACCATACTGGAGATGGGCATCAAGATATGCGAGGAGTACCAGTCTTATTACGCCATGCCCTACATGTACGACATCATGGCCTCGATCGCTTTGGCCACCGGCAAAATCGGCAAGGCGGAGAACATCTTAGTTAGAGTACTCGTCTATTATACCCATATATAGTGTACTAGATTAGTTGTTTCATTGCGAAACGTTTGCAGGTGATCGAGAAGATGGTGCAGCTGGGAATACCCGAGGACAACAGCCAAATGGTGGACTTTAAGCTGCGCCTGTCGCGCATCTACAGCTTGTACCAGGAGAACGTCCTGGCCGAGATCGGTTTCGGCACGTGTCTCAAAGAACAAGAAACGAAAATCAACAACGGGGACATGTCGATGAAGACCAGCCTGCTGTACGTCAACTGTCTGTTCTTCTACGGGCTGCACAAGATCAGCGTGTCGCAGTACAAACGCGCCAAAACCTTCATCGATTCGGCCTACAGCTACGCCATGAAAATGAAAGGGCTCAGCCCCTATCAGGAGATGCTGATACTCGCCACGTTGGCCGATCTCAACGCCCAACTGAAGGACTACGATATCGCCCTGCAGTACGTCAACAGCGCCATCATATTGGGCAAGGGCATCGGCAGCATCGATCTGCCCAAGCTCTACATAAAACTGGCCAAAATCTACGCCAACATGGACTCGCCTTCGATGGCGCGCCATTGGTTGCGCGAGGCCGCCGCCCTGGCCAATTTATTCAACAACAAAAAGGTCTGCGATGAAGCCGAAGCCCTACTGCAAACTCTATCGCTGTAGGCACGTAGCAGGAACAGTCTTGGTGGCAAATAAACACTCGAAACTCGTCGACGTTTTCCGTATTTTTATTCGCTAAAAACAACAATTAAAAACACCGCTCGGTGGATCGATTCGACTGCGATTCATCACCAGCCCAACCAGGGCGGTTGGTTCATCTCGTGCACCGGCGTGTAGGTGAGATTAACAGGCAGATTGATCATCGCGTAGCTCCGCTTCAGTCGCTCCAACGTTTTCAATATCATCAGGCCGTTTTTGCCGAGCAAATAGCCGGCCGGTATGTTCACCTCCTCCACCGTGTTATCATCGATCATCTCGATGAAGTATTCCTGATTCGAATTTACGACGTCGCTGATGATGACAGCTCTAGCGCCCGCCCGTTCCGCTACTAAAGTTTTCATCTTGAACGAGCAGTCACTGAAACCGATCGGGATAATCGTAGGTTCGATGTTACAACGCCCTGTATAGTGGTACTCACCCCCTTTCGATTAGGGCGACGTTGCCTTCGATGTCGTCGAGGTTGTCGGGCGGTTTGCAGCCGTTCTTGGGCAAAATGGGCACCAACGGGACGTTTTTTACGTGGAACGAGGCGTTCTACGGAAACGATGAGATTAGTGAATTGTGGCGCCGAAATGGCGGGTGTATTTACGAATGGGGCGCCGAAATCTTTGGCCGGTCGGATTCTGTAGGTGTACTCGAGCTCTTCGGGGTCGGTGATTTCGAAGAAGACGTCTCCGTTGATTATTTCGGCGGTCGATGTGCCGTCCATGTGATGTAAGTTATTGGCTGGAAATTAAAGGTAATTAAACCGTGCGCTTGAAGGTAATTAAGTAGGTTACCTCCGCAATTAATCAATAAAATGTAGGAACATATTTGAATGCTGTTAATTAGAAAGCATCGAATGAACATTGGTAGTCTCATTTTTGGTTGTTCGTTGGAAAATCCGGATTGATTGTGGTTTCTTATAGTAATAATAATATCGTGGTTGACTTAATAATTGGTTCCATAAATTAAATAAACCTAAAACAAATCTGAGAAATTGGATTTTCTGGAGTTTTCCATGGATTTATGCAACTGTCAAATAATTGAGGTTATGTTCTTAAAGTTGACAGTTTTACTGTAATAGAGATGGGACAAATGCAAGACGTCAAAATAACAGTTCCACATATCGTGCAACTTTCCTTAAATAGGATCCCAAATGCACGAGATTAAAGAAAAGCAACATTTAAATAGTTTGATAACAAAATAAAACATTTAAGTCTACTACAAGCACAAAATTTTAAACAAATGTATGTTACATACCGTTAAAGTAAGAGTCCACATAGATATTTTTACCACGTCACACACGTCAACTGTCACACTTGTCATTGATTTAAACAGTGTTTTCATTTCACTTTTCAATCAATTTGAACGAATTAAACCTAAAAAATGCCCGAAGTAGACATGGACTGGCCTTGGCAATACAATTTCCCACCCTTCTACACCCTCCAACAGCACCCGGAAACCCGAGCGAAGCAGGTGGACGCCTGGAAATCTCTCATACTGAACTATTGCGAGCAAACCAAAACCTACACGATAGACGTAAGAGAAACCGAAAATCCTCTGTTCAACAACACCACAATCAACAGAAAACTGGACGGAGGCGTTATAACATCCATATTGAGCGAGCTGCAGCGCACGGGCAACGCCTGTCCCATCGACAAGAACAAACACCGTTGGGAAATCTACTGGCACACCATCGAAGAATGGGCCGCTATAATTTACGATTTCGTCAACGAGAGGGGCCTGCAGAACACGGTGGTTACTTTGTACGAACTAACGCAAAGCGAAGATAACAAGGAGTTGATGTTCTACGGAATGCATCGTGAAGTTCTGATCAAGGTGTTACGGGAGCTCGAGAACCAACGAAAGTGCGAATTGATATTGGACGATGACGTAGAAGGCGCGAAATTTTTCTAGAATCGCTTAGTAAGGTTTATTTTACGTTTAATTTTAATATATACACGAAGTTTTAGATGCGTTTTATTGCATAGAATAAGTTTTGTAATAGTGGTTGCCTAACTGTCAGATTTAATATAATTACAGATTCCTGTAATCGATAATTTGACGTTTGACAGTTAGTGCGATTGTAATTCGGTAGATAGAGTGCGAGTATTAAACAGTGGCGTATATTTCGAATTTAGGAAACTTATCGGATTAAAAACAACTCTTTGAACTCTTTAACCTGATGGTGATACAATCTGGCGAATAAATATTATGTATTATTGTTAATCGATGTATTTTTTTTGTTTCAGGAGGATTTACGATTCTATCGATTCAACGCACGCTCGATTGTCCGCTGAAATTATTCAATTGAATCGACAATAGGAAATGTCCGGTTGGAAATGTAACGCTCCGTAACTTTCCAAATTCGCAATTAAGTACTAAGTAATTACCGCTAATTCGATATAGGAAGAGTAATGTAGAAGTTGCGCCAAGGTTAGTAAATGTAAATATTTTGTTGGCTCGTAGATTCAAAGGTGTGACGTCACGGATACGTTTTTCGACGTTTCTTTACTTCCGGTTTCGCCTGTCAAATTTAAATTCTAACGGTCGATATTTGGAACATACAGTAAATTTGTAAAGCGCATCGTAAATGATGCCATTTATTTGGTTGTTTATATTATGAGACAACCTGTAATTTCGATTCCTCGGTGAATCACGAATTCGTTCTAATTTCTGAGGCGCACGCGCTCGTTTATTAAACTCGAATCTACCGAAAAAAAACCGCTTAACGTAAATACAAAAGCTCAGTGCTCGTTTTGTTAGAATGCATGTGCATGTGTCTTGGTAAATACACTCTGTGAAATATTTTATTTTATTATTTTGATTTTTTTTGGAAAATTATTAACCCGCGTTGTTGTCAAATTTGACAGGTTAGTTCGAGTTTGCGGGAATTTCGAATATTTTTTTAATTAGTCTTTTACTACCTATAGTGTGTACAAGAGGATTAATTAGCGTTTTGTTGGTAGGTAATTAAATTTTTTATGTTTTTTTGATTTATTGTACATATTAGAAACGGTACGAATTGCATGCGCGAAATACAGGAAGGACGAATTTCGCGTAATTTACCAATTTTCGGTAGAAACTCGCCGAACTAATTAACTAAAATTATCTTATCTTGACGTGAAAAATTCTTTATAAATGATAGAGTCGATTTTGCGAATTTTATAACTTATAACAATCGAAAAAATGTCGCAAAATATTCATTCCGGTTTAATTTATTTTTATGAATCAATAAAACAAACAATCGAAACGCCGAACTTTCATCGATTTGTTATTATCGTTATTGCCTTTTAATAATAACAAAACAATGAAATGGGGATATAAAAATAATCCTGAACGTCGATAAGTATATTTCGTATAATTTGTTTAATCCTAAGCAAAACCTTATTTAAATTTGACCGCCCTGTATAGCTGTTTACGTTTCCAATAAAAAACATTCGAGTAGATATAAAACCTAAAAAAAATCGTGTCCTAAACGAAAATTCCGCGTTTTCACCACAAACCGGATGAAATTAGACAACCCTGTTAAGGTACAAACAAAAGTGAAACATTTACCAATATTTTTAACGTTTTAATTTTTTCCAGTTTTCTCCAATGATGTTTCATTTGACGTTCGCTTGCGTGCTACTCCTACCTCACCATGACGTCATCGCCTCAACAGCACCCCCTCCAGGTAATAAACCCGAACCCAAAACGTCACTATGACATCATAAATGACATTTGACGCTTCTCACAGGCCGCAACTACGATTTATCGATCGAATCGAGCGTGATCGAAGACGCCATCGATTTCGCCATGACCAACACCGGCTACGAGAAACGTTTCGAGGAGACCATCAAGCAGGTCAGTCGATTAGTGCCCGGCACGCCCGCCGAGGGGGCGTACGCCCAGCTCGTGCCCGACGATATAGCCATAGAACGTAGCCGGCAGGCCCGGCTGGCCGTCAAAGTGACCGCTCAGGTCGCCTACTCCGTTTGTCTCGTGTAAGTATAAGTCGCCATTTTGGTCCGAATTTTCGGCCATCTTGGTGTTTCGTAGATAAAACACTTAATAGCGATAGATTATTAGAATGACATACACTGTGCTTCATTCCAGATCGTTACATTAGGTTATTTAGAGGCTATAGGTGCGATAAAGACCACTTTAAGTAGATATTTGTAAAGGAAAAAGATAGAGTGACGTTTGTGTCATTGCAACTTTTCACTCTGACAGCTGACAACTATTATTTTATCAATCTTTCTTTGTTCAACTCATTTTTTTGCGTTTTTTAAAGGAAACCCCTCAGTTTCGAGGAGTGCGACACGCGCCTGCGCAAGGTGAACTTCGCGCGGACGTCGTTGAGCGCCATCTGCGATCATCTGAACAAAAATTGCACCGTCGAACAGGCTTTGGATCCGTACAGATCGTCAGACGGTTCGTGCAATCACGTCGAAGCGGCCGCTCGCGGGGAATCCCACACGGCATTCTCCAGGTATAACTGCGAAATATTGTCATTTATGTCAACGTCAAACGCCTGTCAAGTGTCATAAACGGAGGGTCTATTTTTGGCCGAATAGCCCTGCCAGTTGAGGCCAATAATTTCTTCTTTAAGAAGAAGAAGATGGTCTCGGGTGGGGTTTACAGGGTTTACAGCTCATTCATTATAATGTTATCAATCAATTTGCGGTGTTTTGTAGATTGACTCGTCCGAACTACAAGGACTCCATAGAGACGCCGAAACGTTCTGTGACCAAGGCGTCGATGCCGAGCGCTAGAAAAATCTCCAACGCCCTGGTGAATTACGAGTCGTCGCCCCACGATTATCTCACGGCGATGTTTCCCGCCTGGGGAATGTTCGTCGAACACGATCTCGCTCGCTTCGCGTCCTCCGTAATGGGTAAATAAGTATTTTTTTTTGTACGAGCAGTTTATATTGTCGCGAGAAATGTGAATACACTGCTCGCACAAAAAACTTTCGATGTATTGTTCGCAGTGCATTTCAACGATTCGTTTCGATGCTGCGACGAATTGGGCTTCAATTTGGCGCCGAGGTATACGCATGCCCAATGCATGCCGGTACAGGTACCCCAAGACGATCGGTACTACTCCAACATCCGATTGGAATGCATGAGTTACGTGCGCTCGATGGCGGCGATCCGCGGCGATTGCTCTTTGGGGCACCTCGAACAGGTAATTTCATTCTATATGCCTCATCGAATGTAGCTCGGGAATTCCCCAAGCAACAGCCAAGCTACGTTCGATGAGGTACACATATTCGCAGCAAAATCTAGCCACCCATTACTTGGACGGATCCCAATTGTACGGTACGCACGCGTCGAAATCGACCGACCTGCGTCGGCGTCGCGACGGTCGGCTCGAATCCGAATCGATCGAAGGCGTCGGGGAATTCCCCGGCGCGATGGAACGATGTCCGATCGAAGATGGCGTGTGCTTCGAATCGGGCGATCCTCGCGTCAATTTCCTGCCGCAATCGGCGGTTTTATACGCCATTTGGCTGCGCGAACACAACCGCCTGGCCGCCGAATTGGCCGAATTGAACCGACATTGGGACGACGAGAGGCTCTACCAGGAGGCTCGGAGGATCGTCGTGGCCGAAATGCAGCGCATAACCTACGAGGAATGGTTGCCCCATTTGCTTGGTAAAATCCCGTCGAATTGATCGCCGAATCGCTTTGATTTATACGAGTTTTAGATGCGGAGAAGATGAAGGAAATCGATTCGATCGATACCTACGACGAATCGATCGATCCGAGCGTATCGAACGAATTCGCCGCGGCCGCCGTTCGAGCTTTGTATTCGATGATCGGATCGCAGGAGGCGTTGCGCGACGATTACAACAATCCCAAGATGGCCGTGGAACGTTTCGACGGCGTCGTCGAGGAGATGGCGCGCCGGTCGGCCGATAATATCGATTTGAATTATTCCGAAGACGTAAGTAGACGCGATATTCTTCGTTAGATTTTTGTTTACGCGAATGAGCGGGGGTTTTAAGATGCGTTCGATGGTACATCTCGCCGTTTAATAGAGGTGGGAGTAGATTGATCGGTATAGAGGTGTTGTAACGACCCGTTACAAAATAACCGTTATTTTTTAGTTGATCGATCAGTTGTTCAGCAACGGCGATTTCGGCTACGATTTGGTCAGTTTGGACGTGCAACGGGGCAGAGACAACGGATTGCCCGGATACAACGCCTATCGAGAATTGTGCGGTTTGAAGAAGGCCCAAAATTTCGACGATTTGACCGACGTTATACCCGAATCTGTAAATCTGCAATTTCTACCATCAAACTATACCGTGTGTCCAAGGTCGAGCGATTCTCTCTTTCTTCCGTTTGCAGCGCTCGAGTTTGGACACTCGGTATACACTTAATTACTCGTATAAAGGTATAAGTTTCGGTTGCAGGAGGCGTTGATTTTGTCGCGGGTTTACCAACACGTCGACGACATCGATTTGCTGATTGGGGGGCTCTGTGAAAGGCCGGCGGGGGATTCCCTGGCGGGGCCGACGTTATCTTGTATACTGGGCGATCAATTCGGGCGCACCAAGCGGGGCGATCGATATTTTTACGCGAATAGAGACCAACCGAAACCGTTTGGCGAATTGCAATTGGCGGAGATTCGGAAGGCGACGCTGGCCGGAGTCATTTGCGGTAACGCCGACTTGGCGGTTATTCAGCCATCAGTGTTTAGGAGGATCGATGACAAGTAAGCGATGCGGTGGAGTTGTTTTTGTTTCGTTGTTATTGGGGAATTAATGATGGAGTTAATTAGACTTGGCTGTTTGATGTTTTAGTAACATGCCGGTGAGTTGCGACGGTATTGAAAAGGTGGATTTGGCGGCTTGGCGGGAAGACAGAGAGAAATACGAGTTAGTTTGAATGCGACGATAAAATAAATTCTAATCGAAGAGACTGTTGATATACTTATTTTTTTTGTTTGCGAATTGCCTGACTTCAAATTGTATTCCTGGTTGCCTAGTAAGTTTTTTATGAATAAAATTCGATTATTGGGGAAAATAACAATTAATTTCGTTCCCGTTTCCCTAATTGACAGATACATCTTGAAATTAACCTTAATCGACAGATATAAGTGTACACTTATTCAGAATTTATTGATGTACGTACTGTAGCTGTAGTCAAACCTAGTACTATAACATCAAATTTAAATTAAAAAAAAGAAGAATGTTTCTTTTATCCTAATCGGACGAGACCAGTGACAACTTCACGCCTAACGCAACACAATTGACACTAATGACATTGACGTTCCGGTTGACGGATCTACCATTTGTGTTTGATTAATTTTATAGGTTAATCGTTTAGGCGAATTTATTTAGTAAATTTTCGCCAGCACCGAAATGGAGGAAACAGGAAACGTAAGCATTAACTAATAAATAATCCAGTTACCTACACATTACGTACATTTCAGCTCCAGCCTCCTCCGATTTTAATCCCACCCGAGGCGATGCAAATGCCGCCTATCGACGATCAAGCGGGCGTTCCCCCGAACCCCAACGCTTTCGGCCCCCCCGGCACGCAAGGATGGCCCAACGAGGAGTTCCGTAAGCCCTATAACTAATCAATTGAACAAATATCACAAAATAAACATTCCAGCCAACCTTCAACCGCCTGCTTCGATCAACGAAAAGCAACTACCCTCGCTGTTGTCCCTCAAAGTAGACCCCCCGGAACAACTAATGGAATCCAACGCGGAAGTGGTGCTGCCCCAAGTGCTCGAAGACGTGCTGGCTTTGAAGGACCAAAGGCAGCTGGAGCTCGGGACGGACGTTGAATCCGGAGAAGAAAAAACCCGGAGCAACCAATCGGAGCGGGAGCCCTTGTGGGAGAAGGACGATAACGTCGACACGGTGATTGATACGGAAGTGGAGCCGTTGAAGCAGCACAAAGAGAAGGAATTGAAAGATAAGATGAGCAAAAATAAGAAGAAGAAAAAGAGGAAGAAGAACCGAAAGAATCGAGAGAATGATGAGAAGATCGATAACGATAGTACTGCGGATAATCGAGATAAGGAATCAAGCGAAGACAAAGAAGTAGAAATCGAGTAAATTCGAACTGTATTAAACTGTTCAATAGCATTACGTTTAATATTGTTTTAGGTACATACAAGAAACGATCGGTCTACACGAGCTAGCCCCGCAGTATCGACAATTCTACAGTATATTCGAATCGTTCAAAATATCCGATCACAAAGCCGATATAGCCCCGCCTGTACTGGCCTTACCCACTTCCCTATCCAGCAAAACCCTACCGATCGGCGACGACATGGACGAGGACGATTCCGAAGACAAGAAACTGGACGATAAAACTAAATTGTCCAAAAGGAAAATGAAAAAGCTCACCAGATTGAGCGTGGCCGAATTGAAGCAATTGGTCAACAGACCGGACGTGGTCGAAATGCACGACGTCACCGCCAGGGATCCGAAGTTGCTGGTGCAGCTCAAAGCTCACCGGAATACCGTACAAGTAAGAGACCAGTAAATATAGTAGTACAGTTAGTATAGAGTGTTTTATTTCGTAGGTGCCGAGACATTGGTGTTTCAAACGGAAGTACTTGCAAGGTAAACGGGGCATCGAAAAGCCGCCGTTCAATTTGCCGGACTTTATCAAAAAAACGGGCATAATGGAGATGAGAGCTTCGTTGCAGGACAAGGACGAATCGAAGACGTTGAAAGCTAAAATGAGAGAGAGGACTCGACCTAAATTGGGAAAGATCGATATCGATTACCAGAAATTGCACGACGCGTTTTTCAAGTAAAGTATTTTTGAATTACCGTGGAACTTTGAGTGTTTGACATAACAAAATTTGACAGTTTTACATTGGCTGTTATGGAGTAACTAAGGAGATTGTTTAAGTTAAAGGGACTGTTGATTAGCGTTTATTTGACCCATTTTTTTTCATTTGGATTCCAGATGGCAAACCAAACCGAAGATGACGATCCACGGCGACCTCTACTACGAAGGCAAAGAGTTCGAAACCAGATTGAAGGAGAAGAAACCCGGCGATCTGACCGAAGAGCTGCGCACCGCCCTCGGCATGCCGGTGGGCCCGAACGCGCACAAAGTGCCGCCGCCCTGGTTGATCGCCATGCAACGTTACGGGCCGCCCCCGAGCTATCCCAATCTAAAAATACCCGGCCTGAACGCCCCCATACCGGAGGGCTGCGCCTTCGGCTACCACGCGGGCGGCTGGGGCAAGCCGCCAGTCGACGAGAGCGGCAAGCCGCTCTACGGCGACGTCTTCGGCACCAACGCCAGTAATATAGATGTAGGTATCGGTACCCGGGCTCAGTCGAAGGGGCCATATATGTACAGGGTGTTGATCAATAAGTGCTAGAAACTTCGGGGGGTGGTTCTGCATGAGTTGATAAAGAGATTTTGACCTCCTGGAGTTTGAATAATCAGTTTGTTTGTGTTTTTTTTTTTGTAGGACATTGGAGAAGATCCGAACATCGATCGATCGCTGTGGGGCGCTTTAGAGTCCGAATCTGAGGAGGAAAGCGAAGAGGAAGAAGAAGAAGAAGAGAAGGAAACGCAAACTGTAACCGACGAAACCGGTTTAATAACACCAGCCGAAGGTTTAGTAACACCCAGCGGTATATCGAGCATACCGGCCGGCATGGAAACGCCCGAAACCATCGAATTGCGCAAGAAGAAAATCGAAAACGAAATGGAAGGGTAAGCCTCTTACTTGACCAATCATTCAGCAACTAATTTTCTTCGTTATAGCGCCGAAACGCCCGTGTTGTATCACATCATACCGGAGAAACGGAACGATCGCATCGGCAACGCCATGATGGCGAGCAGCCACACGTACGACATGAGTAGCGTGAGTAACGCCGGCGGGGGAGGCGTCGCGGCGCCCGCGGCGGCTGCGGCCGCCAAAAGGGCGGACAGAGAGGGTATGGTCGAGTTGGCGTTGGATCCGTCCGAATTGGACATGGACAGCGACGCGATGGCTGTGAGATACGAGCAACAGATGCGCGAGAACCAGTCGCAATTGCAGAAGGAGGATCTGAGCGATATGTTGGCCGAGCACGTTGCCAAACAGAAGGTAAGGATTCTGGAGTGTTCTAAATGGTTCTAGACAGTTCTAAATGTTTCTGGAGCATTGTATATTGTTCTAGACGGTTCTGAATGGTTTAGGACGAGAACTTATCATACTACCCTCGTATAATAAACAAGTTGTCGAATGCTGTTTCATTTTTTTGTTTGTTTCAGAGCAAGCGAAAGAGACAACAGCAGGATATGAAGCAAACGAAGAAATATAAGGAATTCAAATTTTAATTAAGTTATATTTAAGGTATTTTTTTAGTTAATTAATAATAATGCGAGATAAATTTCTCGATGATACGTTGGATATCACTATTGTGTGTGTAGTAATATATTGGATATCACTACAGTGAATATAACACGTTGGGTACCTCTCTTTTGACGTAATACAGTACTTGCTATTTCTTTATTTATAAAAATAAAGGTGCCCGAGAGAGAGGTCTAATCGAGGTTTGAGATAAAATACACCTAAGAGAGATTCAAAATCTAGTATCATCGGGTAGGCGCTCGAAATATGGTACTTCTTGTTCTTCCACTCTGTAATTGTGTATCCAACGATTACCTTTCCTCAAACTGTGGTCTATTCCGTCTTTCCAAACGCCCGCAGGAAGGTATATCTAAAATACAAGCAAAGAAATAATATGGTAGGTAAAATAAACGTCATAATCAAATTCCCCTACCTCTCTCTGTTTGGCCCCTTTATGTAGAATAGGAGCGACTATAATTTCGTCGCCGATGGAAAACTCGTCTACCGCCAAATGACAAGCCGGATCGTCAGCGTCGAGCATCCACAAAGGCCTTATGAGAGGCAAACCGATGTTCAAAGACACCTTCGCCAGCGTCTGTAATCTCGGAGTAATCTGCGAAAAAGGATCACAATAATCCTCGAACAAAATCCTAATTAACCTATGTACCTTATCCTGTCTAGTCAACGCCAACGCCTTGGCGATCCCCGATATATTCCTCTGATCGTAATTGCTCGGCAAATGCCGGTACCTCACGACGGGCAAAAAAGCGCTCAACTGCAACCACCTGATGTACAGCTCGGGATCGTGCAGCACGTCTTCGGCGTCGTTACCCAAAGCGACCGTCTCGGGCCCCGGGTAATCCCCGCCGACGGCGCCCGGTATCAGAAACGGATACCCGGCTATCCCGTAGCTCAAAATGGCCGGTATGATCATCCTCAACCCGTCCCAGGAGAACTCGAACTCCGGCAACACCACGAAACTCGGCGATTTGGGCCTGCGCACGGCGCTATTCACGCCGAACAAAGGCACCTCGGCGCTCTGCAACGCCTCCACGAAGCGAGTCTTGTACTCGTCGGGATTCAGCAGAAGTTCCTCGCTCCTGTAGTACCGCGGCAGGTTGTAGGCGACGCCCATGTCCAGGTAGAACGCGTCGATCTTGTAGGCCTCTTTGATCCTGCGCAGTTTGTCCAACAGCCAGGCGACGGTGCGGTTGTTGGTGATGTCCAAGACGCCGGCGCTGCGCACCGATTTGTAGCGCGTCAGCGCCGGGACGCGCTTGTCGTTGTCGCGTTCGGATATGAGCAGTTTCTGGCGCACGGCCTGCGGGAAATTCGAGCTTTCTGTAGATACGAACGGTTGGATAGTGAAGACGACGCGGAAGCCGCGCCTGATGAGTTTCTCCATCAGCGTATCGAACGAGGGGAATCTGATTTTGTCCAATTCGAAGTTACCCACTTCCTCCTGCCAGTACTCGTTGAACAGTATGTGGCCTTGTTTTAAGATGGACACCGTGCTGGTCATGTTGTTGGTGTACAAATCTATTGCACCTGAAATGTCCAATGAACAGTTTAACTTCGTTAAATCGCTGAAGTGATCGATTGGGATACCTTGCGTGAGGAATTCCTTGTGTTCGGGCATCTCCCAAACGGGTTCCTTGAGGAAATAGTCGATGATGTTGCCGTCGTTGCGGTTCATGCCGTCCCACAGGGTGTGCTCGCTGAGGAACACGTGCAATTCGGTCATGTTTGAGCCGGTGAAGACGCTGTAGTTCAATCGAGCGGTAGGCGCGAATCGATTGGCGTAGGCGAAATCGTCGTACTGCGCTCTCACGCAGAACTCCTTCTTCGGCATGTCTTTGATCGACACGTAGAGGGGCGTTTTGTCGTCGATTATTATGGCTGCGGCTGGAAAAAATCATTAAATTTAGTTGTACAGATTGCTCTATTGTTCATTGCAACATATAGGCTATACAGATTGCTTCAATTCAGACCGCAACATGGTCGTTTCTATCAAAATGACCGAGAACTTTTCGCCCTATACAGGATGATGGATGTACCTTTGGAATTGATGAAGTACCTCTTCAGTACGTTGCCCCATTCGTGGGTTTCGACGTTGCCGGTGATGAAGGGTTGAAAAAAGTGGCCGCCTTTCTCCAAGGGCCAGGCCATTTCGGCCGTTTGACCGCCCCCGTACCAATGGGCGTTCGACATGTCGAAGCAATCGGTGGGATGGAAATCTTCAGACAGAGCGATCCATTCGAAATTGTACCGTTTCACGTCCGAGCCCAAATCGGCGAAGCTCAAATACAGTCTCGCCCTGTATAAACGAATGTTCTGTCACATTTAGCCTCATCAAACCTCACATGACATTTGACGTATGTCAAAAAAAAACAATTCAATAAACCTCACCTATTCATCCATTCCAAACAGAGACTTCCATCGTTCCTTTGATCCTTAGATAAGCAAGGTAACACGTTATCGTAATCGAGGGTAGTACCCAATTGTATTTGCACGATATCGCCGCCATTTTCGCTAAATATTTTTACAGTTCTCTTGGCTTTATTCAGCTTCATGTTTCCAAAGTAAACTTTGGCTAGTACTTTTTGATGGTACAAACAGTAGGCCGTGACTATAAGCACAACAATGGCGACGAACAGGAGGCCGACGAAGATTTTCGTTTTGTATTCGGGCGATTTTTTCTTTCTCAACGTTTGAGGTAGATTCTGGGTGGAGGAAATCGTAAGTTAAAGAGTTGAATGTTGGAAGCGTAGAAGGCCTCACCTGTATTTTCTCGCGAAGCAAGCTGGCTATGGAATTGACGGAGGTGATCGAGTTGGCCGGGGAATTCGCGGCCGCCTCTAATTCGTCCGCCGGTGGTCTCAACATTCTCGGGCTCAGCACGGATTTCCTTCGGACATTACGCGTGTAACCCCTTTTTGCAGGAAAATAATATCAATATAATCAATTAGTTTAATTACTCTAATATTAATAAAGCAGATTATGGCCTACTGGGAGGCTTTTGTCTTATATTTCTCGACTGTAAAGCGTAAGTGACCGAATAAATTCAATTATTAGACTTGTGATTGTTTGAAAGAAAGTCGGCTGTGATTTAAGAGGATCGAATCGAATTCGGGATTTTAAAATGGCGAATTTACGACCATTTTGGTTTGAATTTAGCATTGACAGTTTGTTGACGTAACGGTATTAGAGGTGGGAATGCAATAATAAAAGTCACTGTTACGAAATAATATAAAAGAAAGGGAAAAATAAAATTCGGTCGATCCTCTTAATTCGAGTCGGAGCGATTTAAGTTGATAAAGACACATTCGAGGGGACTGTTGTACAAATTGTAGACTTTAAATTAAACTTAATACGTGTATATTAATGTTAACTCGATTATTTTTTCCTTCCGACATCCGACCAGTTTTGATATATTAAATACCGGTGGCGATGGATTTGTAATGGGAAAAAAATTCTACTCACTCTAACAACTGTTGTTCTTTCTCTTCTGGCAAATGATCGATTTTATCGTATTCGTTTTTTAACATTTCTTACGAGACAAAAACGATTCACCTGAGCAAAGATTTTCGCCGATATATAAAATTTAATTAACACTAATTTAATCTTGAGAGTACATTAAAGTTAACAATCTTTATCTAATCTCGGCGCTCGAGTTTGTATTTTTTTTAAGGTATTAATTAATTTTACCGAGCTGATTATCTACAGGGTGACACAAAAAAGCTCAATATATCCGATATTAATATATTGAGATTTTTTCACTACTGCTCCACCCTGTATGTTTGTGTTTTGCTAATATAGAGTTATAATTAATGTATAAATATTGAAATTGCTACCGCTAATATCTAAACACCTATACTGCGAATAAATTTATTAATTAATTAGATCGAATGAATATTATTTACAAATTCGCGCGAAGTAAGACCGCAAGGTCTCATATTTAAAAACCATAAAATTAATAGAAAATAAATATTAATATATAGAGGGACAAATAAAAACTTACTTGAATTCATTGTCGGAATTTTCGTTTTCGTATATTTTATCACAATTGTCCTAAAAAGCGAAAAAACCAAGTAAATTTTTCAAAAATTTAGAAGTAAATTTGATAATTAAAAATGGTTTGACCCATCCAATTACTCACCGATAGTTTCTTAGTAAGCGTTGAGAAATCGTCTAAATTTGGTAAGGAAATGCTATTTCGTCTGTTCAAAGACTCCCGTGATTTTTCCTCTTCGCATTCGCTTGCATCACTTTCTTCTCCTCCTTTACCTTTACATGTAAAACATTTATTTTTTTATAAATAATTCATTTTGTTTAATGAATAAAATGTTTTTATACACCTTGCTCCATTTCCGATTGCAACATGGTCATTTCTACGAGTCGAACAAAGAAAGATTATTAAAATGATAGATTGACAGTTGTCAGAGTGAAAAGTTGTAATGACCAATTGTCACTCTTTCTTTTTTCTTTGTAAGTGTCTAATGGAAGTTGTCTTTATCGCACCCATGGCCTATATAACCTATGTTGCGATCAAAAATGGACAACCTGTATATTACCCTGTATCATTTTATTGTTGTCTTCCTCTTTTATGGTTTCGCAAGAAGGAGACGCCACGATAATTGTGGGTAATTCGGAATTGGGTATTTTATTGTACTTGTAATTTTTGGTCGCCATCTTTGATTAAATCCGGCACGATACCTACAAAAAATATTTTGAAATTATATGATAGATTTAGTGCGTTATTTGGCAAATATTTTACGAATTATTTAAAGAATAAATGTGTAATTTTTTAAAGATAATTTAGATAAAAACGTAAACGCTCCTCGTAAATGTTTTTTTTGTCTTTAACGCACGCTTGATTTCGAGAATAATTAATTTAAAATTATAAACAAACTTGATTTTTAACGACAATTAAAATGCGTACGTACCGATAAATAATAACGTTAATTGGTGATGCTCTTTGCTCTGCCTAGCGGACGGTCGAAAAATCATCTCGGAATGGGAAAATTCTTCAATTTTTCTCGCGTTTGAGTAAATTGAATTCTAACACAGCTAACAACAAACTAACGCGTCACGTTTTATTTTATTAAACAATTAGATAGAACCGTTCATGGACGATTTTAATTAGCAAAATAAACATAATTTATTGTTTCTTTATCCGCATCTGTCCCATTGTTTGTCTATTATTAAGCGAGTTCGTGGGAAATTAAAAAGGAAAAACTACCTGTCAAAAATATCTAAGTGACAGCAAAAAATATCATCTGTCAATAAAATGACACTTACTCGAAATTGTTGGAGAGTCCATTTGCACCAAGTTCATGTAATACATACAAAAATACATTAGTATAGATTAAAACTACACACGATGCTTTGCTTAAAACATAATGAAGCAATTTCCGAGTTTCTGGACATTTTGTAATGAGAAAATTACGACAATTCGAGTCCAATTTAATGTTAATACGGCTACGATAACCTACACAAATGTTTTTAAAATAATTATCTATGTTTATTAGCAAAGGCGAAGGAAGCGGGCGATTCTACAATAAAAAAGTGTGTGATTCAAAGGAATTGAAATTTCTAATCGTTTAAATGATGTATATATTTTTTTATTATCGATTATACAAATTTTTGTTTTTAAATTAATACAAGAATTTATTTAGATTCGAGTTAAAATTAACAATATCACTCCAGAGTATTCAATATTAGTACAAAGGCCTTAAATTAAAAGAAATAACACCCAAAGTAACTTTTTTTTCAAAAATTAACAAATTTTATTCCATACAACTGTATGAAAAATAGAGTAATATAAGGCACATTTTAAGTATTTTTTTTTTTGATTATGTAACATACTACAAGTAGTATCGAGATTTAGTAATAAAAGTATTCAAACTAACTCGAAAAACGAGAAGTAAATAGCATTGTAAATAATTTCTAATACATATCAGCAAAGTTTCCAATAGTAAGATATCAGAAACGTTAAAAAACCCCAATTATTTTAAAGTAGAGAGCTTCGTTTTACAATCCAAAATCACACGGAACATTGCCACGTCAGCTTCTTTCCAAATTAACGTTAAATAATATAAATAAATTCAAAACGAATTCTTCATACAAGCGCTACATTTCGACATTGTTTTGCTTTCTCCCAATCTTATCGTTTCCTCGCCTTCATCTTCGATTAACGTGCCGTTGTCGTGTCTTCTCTACAAACAAAAACATCATACATTATTATTTCAAATAGATGAATTCAATTCATTCAATAGAGAATAGAGAAAAGTCACTGCCTGAATCATTTAGAACTGTCTAGAACCGCTTAAAACGCTTCAGAACGGTCCTCGGTCCATTTAGAACAATCTAGGACCAAAAATTTCGACTAAATAAGAAGAATGCTATAATTATTAAACAGAAAATAGCGATATTTCCTTATCGGGCCGATAACTTATAATTCAGTAAACTTCTACCTTTAATTCAGTCGCCAAATAGACGAAAGCCTCATCGATATTGGCATTCGATTTGGCGCTGGCTTCGAGCACAAACAGCACGTCGGGCATGTACTGGCACAAGGCCTCGGCTTCGTCGAACTCCACCTCTCTGAGGGCCTCCAGATCGGCCTTGTTGCCGACCACGGCCAACGCGACCGAATTGTCCGAATACCGCTTCACCTCCTCCACCCATTTGCCCACCGATAGGAAACTCGAACGTTTCGTTATGTCGTAGACGATCAGGACGCCGTTGGCCGATCGATAGTAGCTCTGCGTGATGGTGCGGAAACGCTCCTGGCCGGCCGTGTCCCAAATTTGTAGCTGGAAAGGTCGAGATGATTGGCTCGAGTGGAGTTAGGTAAGAGGCCGTTGAATGGTTACCTTTACTTTCTTGCCGTCTACCAGTAGGGTTTTCATGGAGAAATCCACGCCGATGGTGTTGCCGTGTCGTTCGATGAACAGGCCGTTTTTGAATCTTTGCACTACGCAGGTTTTGCCGGTGCCGCATTCGCCTACTAGGACGATTTTGAAGAGAAAATCGAAGGATTCTTCGTTGGGAATCGACATCAAAGTGGTCGGGTTTCTGGTCGTCATGGTTTCGTTTTGTTTGTAAACTGCATGGCTTTTTTTTTGGTTAACTCGACGAATTAATCTGGAAGTCGATAGTTTATTATTATTGTTCGGTATTTGTTTTAGTTATTTTCAACTATTTACGTGCGCAAATTGTAGTATATTTATCATTTTTAGTTCTTTTGACAGTTGACTGAGTTGACATTTGTATCTTAAACTTAAATCGAGGTTATGTCAATGTTTGACAGATGAAAGGTCTGATACTTGTAAGTCAACCAGCCACTCAATAATAATTATAATTTTGTAATAAAAAGAAACTAATTCGCTAATTTATTTACACTCATTTACAATTTACTAACTTATTTACACCCATCCCTAGTTGGTACATGTAAAAATCTGTCCTCATCGAACTGGATCTCATCGGATCGAAAAATTGGTTCTTCATACTGATACCACTCGTCTACATCGAAACTCGGGAAAAACACCCCTATTTCCCTTCGCGCGGATAGCTCAGAATCCGATCCGTGCGCGGCGTTCCTAGTATCGGACAAACCGTACAATCCCCGAAGGCTCTGGGGCGATTCGAACTGGGCTCGGAAGACCTTCGTGGGCCCCATCAGAGCCCTCCAATCGCTAATCGCATTAGCCTTGGCAAGTATTAAAATGTCACTGGGGCCGCTTGTCATAAATGTTATCAATCTGTTGTAGAAGAATTTGCGTTTGTGCTCTTCGTAGAATGCCTCTGATTCACTCGATGAAATCGTTTTTCGTTGACATTTCACGATTTTGAAGCTGTTTGATAAGATGGCCGTGCGAATTTGACGCAGATGAAAAGGATTTTTGATTATATGCGGCTTTATAATGGCTAAAGTTAGTTGTAGAATCGTCATAATTCTGGGTACAAAACAAACATTTTGTGAGGTTATGGTTAAAGTGGCCTCCGTTTTTGTAGGTATACGGTGAAGAGAATATTGACAGTTGACATATACTTAACTGAAAGCGTATGACTACAACAAACAAGACTATAAAAGAAAAGAAGACTTAGTGTCAAATGTCATGTCAACTAAAAGTGTCAAAATATTTCAACTCATTCCACCAAGTATTTAAAACAAAGTTTTCGCCGATTTATATTAGAAATACAAACGATTTTTCCTCATTTTACTAGTTACAATCACACAGCACCGAAATGGTAAGTACCAATTCGACCTACCTACAGCCGCATCGAGTCTAAACGAACCTTTTCCAGTCGATTTTGGCGTACAACGGGGGCGCGATGGTAGCAATGAAAGGCGAAAACTGCGTCGCGATCGCCGCCGATCGCCGCTTCGGCATCCAAGCCCAAACCGTCGCCACGAACTTCGAGAAGGTCTTCGAAATGGGCCCCCACCTGTTCGTCGGCCTGCCCGGCCTGGCCACCGACACGCAAACCGTCATGGAGAAGCTCCGGTTCCGCAAGAACCTCTACGAGCTGAAGGAGAACCGGCGCATCTCGCCCAAGGTGTTCGCCGCCATGATATCCAACATGCTGTACGAGAAGAGGTTCGGGCCGTTCTTCGTGGAACCCGTGGTGGCCGGTCTGGCGCCCGATACGTTCGAACCTTACATATGCAACATGGATTTGATCGGTTGCCTTAACGAACCCAGCGATTTCGTTGTAGGGGGTACCGCTTCGGCGCAATTGTACGGAATGTGCGAATCATTATGGGAGCCTAATTTAGCACCCGATGATCTGTTCGAAACCATTTCGCAGGCTCTAATAAACGCCTTCGATAGGGACGCTATATCCGGTTGGGGAGCTACGGTTTATATTGTGTAAGTATACTTGATCGGTAGATTCGAGCAATTAACTAATTTGTTTTTTTATTTTAGAGAAAAGGATAAAGTAACCATAAGAAACCTAAAAACTCGTATGGATTAATTTATTTAAAATGTTTAACGTACATTAAAATTTCGTAATAAAAACCTTTTTTTTAACATTATAATACTTTTTTAGTCATCAGCGTCTTCGCCGGGTTTCTTAATGACGCCCCATTTCTCGGACTCCTCCAAAATCAAGTTGCTTATCTCGACGATCTTCTCCCTACCGTCGTTCGACGTCACTTTGGACAAACCCATCACGATTTCCATCACGTTGGTCTCCATCAACTTCTCGGCGCACTCTTTACTCGCCGACACCACATTGTAGGCTATACAGACACCCCTGTACTGCATATCGACGTCCGGATTCAACAACAACACTTGGAAGCAATCCAGCCAATTCTTCGAATCGAACACTTTAGCGCAGCACTTCCTGCTCGCCCCCGTCAGTATGCACAGCATCCCCGCCGCCGCCATCGCCGTCTCCTTGTCCTCGTCGATGCAATTCGACACGGCGAACTTCACCTTATTTTTACACCAACGATTAATACACCGACGAGTAACTCGAAGAAATAATACTCACCCTATCGTTGTCGCCTTCGAAGTACTTGACCACCTCCTCGCTTTGGGTCATGTTGCACATGCATTGCACCGCCGCCCTGGATAGGTGCAAGTGATCTTCGAACATGTAGTGCTCGATTTTGGAGAAACCCCCTTCGCTGAGGATCCTCCTTCGAGCGGTCTCGTTCATTTGGGCTACATTGCAGAGAGCCAACAACGCCTCGAAGTTCTCCAAACCGGTGCAATCGGGATGCAACAAACTGATCAGAGGCTTCACCACTTCGAGCGATCGCTGACCGGGAAACGCTATCTCCGGATTCATCGTTATGCCTATCCTGGAAACGATTTACTCACAATTTGCGATAAATTCGGATATATCACTTAGTTACCTAGCTAGAGCTTGAGCCGCTTGTCTCTTCCCTTTATCGGTACCTTTAAGCGCCAAATGTATCAACACTTTAGTACCTCCTTGAGCCACCACTGTGCCTCTTAGCTCGACCAGACCGCACAGGGCGTTGAACACTCGGGCGATGAGCTCCTTGGAATTGTCGCTCTCCGTTTTGGCCAAGGCCACCAAAGCGGCGGCGACGTCGCCGCGGCCGAGCGCCAGGAGGCGCTTCTCCACGAAATCCCGATCGTCCAGATCGTGCTCCTCGGGCACGTGCTGTTTGGCGAACTTCGCCAGCTCCACCATCTCCGGTATGATCTCCTGCTTCTCGTAGGCGTTGCACAGGTTCACCAGCGTCGTGATGACGCCGAACAGCGCCGATTGATCGCCCGTCTTAGCCAATTCGACTAGCGCTTTGAGCGCCGCTGAGTCCTCGATGAGCTTCTCTTTCACTTCGGCGTCGAGCGTGAGATAGGAGAGCCCTTCGGCCGCCCATTTGCGCACGTCGCCGTTTTTACCCGGATGCAACAGAAACCGACGACAAGCCTCGGCCAGTTTCAACGAAGAACCGTCGGCGAACGGTCTGGAGGCGGCGTCGGAGCCGCCGCTGCTGCCGAGTTTACACAGCCCCACCAACGCTCTGATGCGGACGCCGTCGTCGCCGCTCTTGTACAACTGCTTCAGTATGTTAACGCCTTGATTGATGATGGCCTTCGCCTTGTCGGCTTTGCTGGCGGCCGCGATGATGCATTCGCAAGCCACGCGTTGCTGTAGCTCGTCCTCCGTATTCGCCATCACCAGTATCATCTCCATTATACCTTCTTTACCTACGATTCTATGGATTAGTAACGTGTAAACGAGTGTGTTGTTGGTTGTATACCTATTAAGGCGTTACCGACGTCGAGGGGGCCTCGTAAAAGCGCCGTCAGCGCCGCCACCACGCGCACTTTCGACTCGATATCGGGCGTGAGCAACTTCTTCTTAATGTATCCTTCGATACGATCCATAAACTTCTCTCGTAACGTGTCGTAGTACATGTTATCGTAGACTCGGGCGAGACAAACGGCGGCGACGGTGGCGGTGGATTTGGTCACGTCCATCGAACACTCGTATCGGAACTCCTCCAATTCGCCGGCGCACTCCATGAGCTTCTCGACGCCGCCGGCGTCGACGAGTCGCTCGGCCCAGTCGAGCTGGCCGTAGGGGACGTTGCGGACGAGCAGCTCGACGGCGGCGTCGCGGGCGGCGGCGGCGATGATGCGGCTGTCGACGGCGTCGACGAGGCGGCCGAGGATGAGATCGATGGCGGGGCGGTTGCGGTCGATGAGTTCGGTGGCGGGTTTGGTGTCGGGGCGGTTCTCCATGCCGGATAAAGCGTTTAAAACGGTTTGGATGCAGTGTTCGGCGGCGTTGACTCGCTTGAGGTCGTTGGAGTCGAGCAGGTCGAGGAGCCACGGTACTCCGGCTGTTTCTAGTACTGCTTTAGTGCGGTGTTCGTTGTGTTTGCACAGCTCACCGATTATACGAATGCTCGTGGTCACGATTTCTTTATTCTTCTCCACCTGCAAATATTAAATTGTAGTCGGCTCGCTTCGATTGACTCTGACTCACTTTAATAATCCTTTTGATTTGGTGGACTATAGTCGATTTGATCATGAGTTCGGCTCCAGCGTGTTGTCTGGCTAGTACGAGGAGATTGTTCGTTGCGGTTTCTCGTTTGTCTACGGTTTCGGATAGATCGAAGGCTATTTTCATCATGCTGTCCAATTTGCTGGTGGTTTGTTCGTTTTGGTTGGCGCGTTCTTGGACGATCCGGAACAACCGTTTGAGTATCGGTTGGATCGGTTTGTTGGCGGGATCGTCTTTGAAAATCTGAGTGGCATCCCTGTAGGCTTCTTCGTATCTAAAAGAATTCGAGTTAGAGATTATTTAACATAATAATGTTGTTTCTACGAACCTTTGTAAGGCTTCTAAAGCTTGGCAACGCCTGAACAGCGCCTTGGGATCGGCTGGGGCTATTTTCAAGCAGCTGTTGCAGTCTTCTAAGGCGGATTCGTAGTTTTCTAGTTTCAAATAAGCGGCCGCTCGGTTTTTGTAGTAGGTGGATAGGTTGCGGATCTCGCTTTGGGCCAGGTTGATGGCTTTGGTGTAACAGTCGACGGCTGCGCCCCAGTTTTCAGCGTTAAACGCCGCGTTGCCTTCTTCTTTGAAGGATTCGGCTCGGGTCTCGTTGTCGTCCATGACTGTAAGAATTTTCTAGCACATGGCTTTCTAGTAAAGTACTGTTTAAAATTAGATCTTGCACCTATTTATGGAATTTTAAAAGTTTATTTTTGTATCTTAACCTACATCTGTCATGTCACGTACAGGTTATTGAAATCTTCTTTTTTTTTTTTTCAATGAAATTTGTTGGAAGTTTAAATTTTATGTGAATTTTAAGAACTTTGAAGTTAATTACTATTCTTTTTACAATTCTTATTAATATTCGATAATTATGTAATTATTATTTGAATGTAACTGGTTGAATATTACGTAAAAGTCCATCAAACTGTCAAACATTTCTCTGCCTTTTGCTCTATGCACAGCCAGTTACAAAATGGTGTTTCCAATTATTACAAAAACTATTTATTTATTATGTTATTTACGAAGACTTCTAACAAAGTACATACTTAAAAAAATAATTAACCAGTACAATGGGAAAAACTTAACATTACATGCAACATCCAATGCATCTTTCTTCAATTACATCATATCGTAGATCATCATTTTTCGATAAATAATATTTGAATTCAGTCGACTCGATGGAGTTTACACCAATTGAACTCCGAACTTGGCCAAATAGCCCTGCAGTATCGTCTGCGATTGGGCATTCATGTTGTTTATGTAGGTCGGCAGGCGACCGGGCTGCGAAGCGCCCAAAGTGGCCAAACTTTGAACCAGAAACTGCCGTGGCTCGCTGACACCTAGAACGAGGCCGATATAAGTAAACGACTAGCGCAGAGTATTAAACGTGTTACCTTGCAGGGGATCGTTTTTGGTACCATCGGCGAAATTCAATTTAGCGCTGGTCGCTTGATAGGCCGGCGTATCGTCCACTTCGATGAAATGATCATCGGGGAACGTCGTCTCGTCTCTGGGCATCTCGAAGAACGCCAATAACGCCTGAAAATTCAACGAAACAACGCTCTAACTGATGAATTTCTACGCTAAATTTCGAACTGTTACCTGCAACAATTGCGGCCAATATTTTTGGTAAGATCCCGTATACATTCCCGGGCAATCGCACAGTAATTTAGTAACGCCACAAGCGACGATTTTCCTCTCGACATCGCCGGCGATTTTCTGCAATTCCGCGATTAGAAGCTTCTCCAGAACCATACCGAACATCCTGAAAATACATTTTTACAAATACAATTTAATAGACTCGCAAAAACACTCACTGAGCTTGGATTTCATCAATCAAAGCCACCAAATCGTTGGGCGAATACTTCACCATATACAAGCAAAAGAACACGATCAAATTAATAACGTATTTGGTCGTTTTACTGGACGACAACCGTTGGAACAACAGGAAGAATATCTGTTTGTGATAGGGCGTGAGAGCTTCGCTGTAACAAACAAACACTTATAATTTATATGTTTAGTGAGATAACTTCGAAACTTACGTAGGTAGATTCTGGATGAGGCTTTGCATCAGCCGGAAACCTTCGTGATCGTTCGATTTCGAGGCCAACAACTTCTGGAACACCCCCAAAAATCCGCCCTACAAAAAAAAAACCGAAATTAATCATCTGAATTACATTAGAGCGATTAGAATCTACTCACCACTTTGTCCTGCAGCACGATTTGAGGGGCTGCCTGCGTAGCGAACGCGGCCAACAATCTCACCAACGGGCTGATATTCGCTGGACGTTCCCACAATATCGGAGCCAATAAACAGGGCAACAGTTGCATGTAAGGATCGGATAGAGCACCCTGTGGCGTATGTTCCATCAACAACGACAAAATTTGGAACACGTACGGAATAAACTCTAAAAACACACACAATTTCGTTTAGTGGTCTTTTACATCGCGGTCGTTCGCTCGTACCTTGTATATCTTGCTGCAAAATTCCTTGAAATATCGGAAACAATATGTCCTCGAACGAAGTCACCGCCGTGGGATTCACCTTGCAAATAATCCTAAAACGAAATCACATAAGCACCAACAGCCAAACGAGTACCGAACCGCTTACTTTATAGCCAACGAAAAGCACTCAAACAGATAATGATTGAAGAGCGGCTTCGATGGATTCTTGGCGACCATCTGCAGCTTTTCCGTCATCTTGGGCAAGGCCACGTTCAAATAGGGTATGATACGGTCCTGTAAGGTCGCGAACGTCCTCATCAGAGCCTTCATGATGTACTCGTTCTCCTCGGAGACCGGTTTTTGGAGTACCGCGAACAGATTCGTCAACAATTCTGAGGCCAACGGCTCCAACTGGGCTCCCGTTACTCTACAAAATCACCAACAAAAGCCGATACAATAACGAACTCTTAGTTATATTCGACGAATGGTAACCTACATGGTTTGATTGTTGGATTTCAACATGAGGATCTTCTCCAAAGTGCAGGCTGCGTACGTGTGTACCACACAACTTTCGCTCGGCATGTGCCTGATCAATTGTGGTAAAGTCGATACGACCAGATCGCTGGGAAGCACCGATCTGAATGTCATTACATATTTTATAGCGTCCGCTTTCAACACCGGCAAATCGTTAACTAAAACATAACAATAACAACGTTAGGAAATACAATAATTGGGAGATACAACGTACCGTCGGGTCGTTCTAATTCGGGCAAAACGTGCTGCTGACAGAACTGCGTAATGTCCACCAATTGGCTGGTTTGAGTGACGCCGTGCTTCTGAGTCGAACCCCTGCTCACTAGAGAGGTCACCAAGTACAAGGCGGCGTCTTTGCTGCGCCAAAACTCCTTCGGATTTTCCGCGTACTTCGCCAGCATCACCTGAAAAGTCATCCAAAACGATTCGTTACCTAGTTAATATCGAGTCGAGTCCAGAGGAGTCCCGTGAGCTCCACTAGAGGGCGTAAGAGACCCCGAAAGGGGGCATAATGTGACAGTCTAGCCCAAAGTAGCGAATAATAGTTAACAGACGCACTTGTAAATACCGTCCGAATATCTCCACGATCCTCTGCTCGAAGTTCTGGCTGAGTGTGTTGACCAAATCGCAGGCGGCCCGTCGACGGGTGTCGATATCGGAACCTTCGATGTCCCTTCTCGTGTACTCTTCGGGATTGTCTTCGAACAATTCCTCATCGGAGGCTGCAAGTTAACCGGATTCAAACACGATTTTATTCGCTCGGTTTATTCATAACAACTCACTTCTGAATTCCATGTTGGGTATAATAACCTTTTCGCAAATGCTGCTTAGTACGTTGTCGTCCTCGAAGAGGTTCCTGTACTGCGAACGTTCGGCCACCGACGAGAGGAATTGCAGGGCGTTGGAAACCAACTGGAATCGAACGGAATTAGAACGATTTTAAAATAGGTATTTTATGTGTACCAAATCGTATTTGGGTTGTAGATTCGTAGCGACTAATAGACTCCAAACATCTGTTACGAATTGTGGCAGGTAGGGTTGGAACTCCTCGTCGTACTTTTGAGCGTACAGAGCCACATTATCGCACACTTGGGATTTTAGTTGTTCTAAAACACCGGCTTCGCTGTCTTCCTACAAATCAACACATCTATATCTCGTGGTATTAAATATATACGATCGACTAACTTGGCTTTGTAAGGATTTCACGTCGACTGAAAGCAGCGTGTGGAAATTGGTCATCCACACTTGGATGTTATCTTCGAAGAATTCCGGCAAATCTTGGAAGTTCAACGAGTAGAATACTTTGCAAATAAGCACTAGTGAACTGTAGATTATTTTCAAAGCGGCCACGTCGTTTGCGTGGGTTTGAGATAGATTTATGGTCGCCTAAAAACCGGTGGATTATAATGGAAATTATTATTCGCATACTAAATACTTACAACTAGAAGATCCGTAAGAGGTTTCGCTAACTTCTCGAGCACGTATTTAATCTCCGTCCACAACTCGTTCGACTTGAATTCGTATCGGTACTTTTTAAACAGAGAATGGGCCGTTCTCAACACGCCGTTAATCACGTTAAAATCGCCTAAAACATTCAACGTTTACAACTGAAAATTACGAGTATATTCGTATTGTACCGGTGGAAAATTTCTCGACCATTTCCGTGATGAGTTCCGGCCATTTCAACGGAAAATCGGTTTTCCCTATGATGCTGATAGCATCGCTGAGCTGCTTTTGAATCGACTCCGGCGAACTCAACATCAAAGTTACAATGAGATTCTTGATAGCTAGTCGATCGGATTCGTGAATACGATCCGTCTGATCTTCCTCCACCACCCAGTTTCTTTTTATGTAATTCTTGAACGCCACCGAACCGGCCACCCTGATGGTCATGTCCACTTCGGGCTTGTGCACCAGATTGAGCAGCAACAACGGGTAGTTTTGGTTGACTTCGACTCCCTCCAGGAATTTTTCGGCTACCGAAACGAACGAGATTAGAAATGTTGCTCGATCGGCGAAAAAGAAGGGTGCTTACCTGGTCGACGCACGTTCGGGTCCGGATTGAGCGTTTCTTGCAAATATCTGCTCAAAGTTTCTAAATTCTTGTCGGAGACTTCCATTGTGTTGGATTTTCTTCGAAGCTAACCTACAAAAATGCCGGAATCCGGGATATTTGTGACAGATGACGTATTCGACAAGTGGCTAACTTCAGTAGCAACTGAACTTTTCTTATTGCAGTATTCAGCCACAAGTTTTTTCACAACAGAAAGTGCAATTCAATTCTCTTTACTGTTTATATTATTAGAAATCGTTCTTGCTTTTTACTGCCTTTTAATGCCCTTTATTTATAACGTTTCATTTTATATACTCGCACAAACTTCAGAATTGCATCAACGAACGCACCTCAAATATGACAATTCATTTTGACGGACTTGACACACTGTAGTTGACAGTTGTGTAATATTTTCCAGAAATTTTTCAAAGTATATCAAATCAAATCAAAATATTGCAGAAATGTCTCAAGTAACCAAGTTAACTACGGGCCTGACGGGCCTGGTCGTATCGAAAAATCCTCATCATACTTTAGGCATTTTGTACAACAAAATTATGCGGACGCTCCAGAACATGCCCGAAGGTGCTGCGTACAGGAAGCACACGGAGAGCGTAATCAAGGAAAGAACGGCGATATTGAAATCCACGACCGATGTGGCGAGTATCGAGAAAAAAATCGGCTGCGGACAAATCGAGGAAGTGATCATGCAAGCGGAAAACGAACTAATATTGGCCAGAAAAATGATGGCCTGGAAGCCCTGGGAGCCTTTGATGAAGGAGGCGCCGCCGAACCAATGGTCCTGGCCACCGGTCCAATCTCGTTCTTAAATTAATTCATTTCTTAACTTAGTAATTGTTTATAGTTATTTAATAAATATTAGTTATATAAAAGTCAATAAACTGTCTTTTAATTTTTTTGTGAATGTCAAACTATTTTTATAGGTATCTCTCTCGCGCTTAACGGCTGTGCGAAAAGGACGCTTACAACGGAACGACGGTTTTTTCAAACCAGCGTCCCCTATAGATCGTTTTTGAAGCTTCAAACCGGAAAACGGATGTGAATTTCACACATCGAAGAAGGTTTCCTAGCTAGATTTCCTTTGTTTTGTACAGAATATGGCTGCCATATTTAGTTTAGATGTCTCTTTTGAAAACGGTCGTTAAATTTGTCCCGAATATGCGGTAATATTATAGTAAAATATCGTTGGTTAAGTGTATATAAACGATACAATGTTTTAAAGTTATTAGAGGAATTGTTAAAGCGTCGCAGAGTTAGTTCTGGTGGAAAATGTTTCTGTTTACATCAGTTGTTGAAAACTTTGGATTCATTTTATGCATTTCTAGGTAAGTTTCGATGTTTATAATAATAGTTATGTTGAATTATGAATGTAGTTTCGTTCGATGCAATGTAGACGGTCGTTTGTTCGGGTTATTTTCATTTTTACACCGGGTTTTAGGTAATGAGGTAAAATCGTTTGATACGCGTTTTTTATTGGAATTGTTTTGTATATTTTTTGGGTCAGCTCTAATTTTCGGTTGCATTTCGAGATTTAAACTCGCGATATAAACATTCAATATTAAGAATGAGTTTTGTGATTTAGCATAATAATTTAAAGATTTTCTTGTAGCGTTATACTAATGATTTTTAAGATAGAATGCCACCAATAATTTGAATTTTGAAACGAAATAAAAAAAAAATAGGTTTTTCCGCGATTGATTGAACGTCAGGATATCGTTTAGATGAATATTTATTAACAGCGCACGATTCTAGATGATACATAAGAAGTTTATAAATAAGTTTTTTTTTGTACATACCTAAATAAAAGCGTTTGTTTTGTAAAAAAAATGTATATATAAATATAAAATGATAGAAATTGTCAATCGAATAGTTATATAATTCCGTTTTCTATGCGCAGTAACAACTTCATTTGCATATAAATTTAATTAGGCGTTTTTGACGAGTCGCAGCGAAACTAAAATGCATCGATATTGACCTCCTAGATTTCTGTATTTCGTGCGAAATGTATCGAAGTGCATCGGCGCCTACGCTACGAAAAAGAAAAATAATCGATACAGTTTTACGGGTTTCTCATTTGCGGAAACCCGACCGTCGGATGAAGATGCAATGGGGGAGATCGAAATGATTTTCTCGGCGTTCTCTCCGTATACATGCACATACCGTACACACACATTTTATATATTTTACCTTCTCCTTATTCGGGCCCCTGTACGCGGACATGGGCGATGGGGCGCATGCGCGACCTCGGGCATATCGACGCCGTCGCGATTCGATTCTATTTTATTGCGCTGTTGTTGTTTTGTTGACGTTCTTCGATAAAATGCATTGCTCTATAGCTATAGCGGCGAATTGGGCTCCATTTTTTCACGTTTTCCAATTAATTTTTGTTGAATTAAAATGCGTTTTTTTTGTAATTTGACGTATCGAATTGTCATTGTCATGTCAAATTCGATTTTTGTAATGTGCATTGCTACCAACTTAAATTGGTTTACTGAAAAAAATCACTAGGTTTTGGAATGTTAATTTTATACGAATTGTTAAAAAATACATTATTATTTTATTTTATCTGTACATTTTTCCTACATTTACTCTTAGCGAGTGAATTTTCTTAACATTATTCCGAATGCCTCGGCCTACTTAGTTATTCAGTCAAAGTTTGTTGGTATTAATTTGACGTACGCTATGAAGCAAAATGGCAACTTGTTTAGATTTGAAATTCATTTACAATTCGGTTTAATTTTTTATTTAAACGAAACAATAAATTTACTAAACGCCGTTTCATTATATGCAAATTGTTTATTCATTAAAGCGAGTTTAGTTGGAAATTAAAAAAAAATGCGTTCAATTTGATCGCGACTTAAATTCATTGATAAAATTTATAATAACAACACCGATATATTTTACTCGAAACTTATGCAATGTTTTTGTATTGGTATCTAAAAATAATGCAGCAAATAAACATCTGTTATCATATAGGAATATTTAATTAGATTTACGCTTAAATATTATTGGTTTTTACATAATAATATGCAGGTAGATTTGTTTAAGATTACGATTGAATCTCCGAAGGTAACTCGGTATCGTGCTAGTAACAATGCTACATTTATTTCTCTTCTACGTATGTAAAAGATATTTTCGAATCTAAATAAAATTAACCATTTGCAATTCTTCGTTTTTTTTAGACAACTGTAGTGACCTGGATACCATCGATTGCATACCGAAGGGTGGTGGTGGCGGGTACGCCGCTAGCGAACCCTCAGCATTGGAGGCATCGAAGAAAAATGAAACCCACAGAACGATGAGTGTCTGTTTCGAACCGTCGAACTCGCTAGCCGCCGTTAGCGCGGCCCCAGAGACTTCATTAGAAGACAACAACGCGATCAATCGCCAGAATGTCGCTTCGAGCGCCGTCGAAAAGGCGCCCGATCAACCGTTGCCCAACGCCAAGAGCATCGCCAAGCTGGTGGTGGCGACCGCGAATTCGCAACCGTCCACCGTGGGCGGTTCGGTGTTGCAAAAGGTGGCGAATCCGCCGCTGATAACGGTGCTGAATCCGTCGGGGCCGTTGACGGTGGTGAAGACGCTGTGCGTGACGTCGGGGGCGTCGAGCGCCCCGCAATTTACGTTCGTCAATTCGGCGCCGTTGTCTGTGACGAACGCCATCGGTAAATCGCCTACGATTACGTTGTTGAACGCCCCGGTGACGGTGGTGAAGGCGATCGCGACCGCCGTCGAAAAGGGCGCCGTACAGGAGGCGGCGACCGGCGGCGCTAACTCGCCCGTTGCCACCGCCGTCATCGAGAATCGAGGCCATAACGTTTTCGTCAAAAACACCCAGTCGGAATCGATCGATATGCCTCAAAGTCACAAATTGTTGACTGCTAATAACTTCCCATCGAGCAACGTAAGTTTACTTACATTTTACACTACTATATAACAAGTATTTTTAATGTAAATCGTTTGTAGATATTGTCGAATCCCCAGGGCAAAACGTTGAACGGCCAACGGAACAAATTGAAAATCGTGAGCAGCAACATCATGGTGGCCGGTTCGTCGCAGTCGCAGCTACCCAACAACATCATAATGAACAACAAACCGGCGCAACAACAGCGTTACGTGCCGAGACCGCGTGTGTTGGGCACCAATCGTACCACCACCAAATACATCAAGCAACCGAACGTCGGCAATTTCATGAAACCCAGCGTCAATCCGCAGATGAAATTGGTGCAGGACAAACCGCCCGCTCGACTGGTGTATCCCACGCACAAAGGCCAAATCAAAACGATGCCGCCCGTCAACAGCTTCGCGCCGAAGCAGCAGCAGCAGCAGCACCTGCAGCAGACGAAGCACGCCGTGGGAGCGGCGTCGTTGAGCAGAAGCGCCGCGGCGACTCGCGGCGTCGGTTTGAGGACTATTCCGGCGCAGAAGGCGCACAATAAGGTGCCCAACAAGTTGAACTACATCGGCAAGCACGCCGTGCAGGCGCAGAAGTTGAGGCAGACGCACAAGTTGAACAAGCAGAAGGGGACCGCGGGGGCGGTGAACGCGGTGCCGTATAACGTGCACGTGCCGCCCATGATGCCCGACAAGCAGCTCAACGAGTTGACGTTCAATCAGGCGCTGACAGCGCAGATTATCGAAACGTTGAGCAACAGCGGCTCGCCGTCGCAGAATAATAGGTACGAGGGGACGCCGTCGTCGCGGTACGATAGCGCTTTTACCTGTCCCGATGTGAAATCCAACGGGTACGTTTTACGATTTCAATCTTGTAACTTTTGTCTAATTTATTGTTTTGCAGGGAGTCTTGTAAACCGGTCGACGATTCGAACAAATCGGGCTTGGACGCTTTATCGTTGATATGCCAAGCAGTATTATTAGATCACAATTACAACGCCACGCTACCGCCGGATTCGCCTACAAGACCGTCGCCCCCGTTGATAGTACCGGGACAAGTCAACGGTTTATCAGCTCCATCAATCTACTCCCCCGGCTCATTGAAAAGTAACATTTATTCACCGCAAATCACGAGTATATTTATATATCGTTTGATTTTCTAGGGCGACAATTGTCGTCGTCGTCGAACGTCGCGGCGTCGCCGGCCGTCGTCAATCATCCACCGTTGGGCTCGGGCGTTAATAATAACTTGCTGAGAGACGACGACAACGCTTCGGACATATCGGACGGTTCGGAGCGCAAGCACGACACCGAAGGCGAAGAGACCGACACCGCCCCCGAAGCCGAGGCCGTCAACAACGACAACTTCGACGGCTACGGCGATTACATAACCAGGTGTATTTGGTACGTACCATTGATAACCTTAGTACGGCCTTTCGTTGCTGTCTACCCTGGTGGTACGAAAGCGAACTATACACTATATATAATGTTTTTTGTAGTGGGTTTTTGCACGACGACGGCTACATGGTGGAGTGCGACAGGTGCAAGGTGTGGCAGCACGTGCAGTGCGTGGTGAAGAACCGGCAGGTGCCCGACGAATTCTTGTGCGAAGAGTGCGATCCGAGCAAGGTGATCGACAGGCCGAAGGCCCGGGCGGTGCAACAGCAATGGCTGCGCGACCGGCAACTGGTCGATCCGAAATTGCGCGGCGCCGGCTCAGCCGCCTCCGCCTCGGCCGCCTCCTCCGCCTCCGCCGGACCGAAAATCAAGGAGGCGTTCAAGCCGAAGGAGATGCCGAGCGATACCGATTCGTCGGACGCCGAACGCCGTAAGTTTGGATCTTATTTAGAATACTCTGGGATGAGTTTGAATGGTTTTAGGAACTGTTTAGTGTCGTTTAGGCTCGGTTATTTGTACGCGGATTTGAAGTATTAATTAATCCGGCTATGATTCGAATATTATCCGCGTACGAACGACCGGACCTTTCGAGTGTTTGTGTGGTTTATTAAGCGAATTGTATTTGTAGCGCCGAATAATTTCGTTGCGAAGCAAAGGACGTTGACGAAGAGGAAAGCCGACGGACATCCGAAGCATTCTCTGGCTAGACAAAGGCGGGAGAACGCCAAAGAGGCGGTACAAAAGCGACAGAAACGGAAAGAACGCAAGGTGATTAGAAAGAAGGTATACAACAGCTTGTTTTTTTGTATGTAAACGAATTATTAATAACGAGTTAATTTTGTAGACTCGAGTACAACCGAAGAACCACAGCGACGACGAAAATCAAGACACCTGGTCGTCGCATCTACCGCAATTGCGCCAGTGGATCGAAAAGTACGAAGAGGCCGTCACGAATCACTACTCGCCCGAATTGCGAGCGCGCATGTCGAGCATACGTTCGAACGGCGCCCACTCGGACGCCGCCACAGCTCGCTACGATCCGTCGGTGCACAAGTGTCGCGTCCACACGCAACCGCTCACCGAGCTCAAATACCTGGTGGCGACGGCCGACCTGCCGCCGGACACGCCGGTCGTCGAGCTGCGCGGCAAGTACATGCTGTCGACGCAACATCGCGCCGCCGCCGGCGCCGGATTGGGCGCGGCGTTGACGACGCGCCAGCACTCGCAGCGACCCGGTCCGTTTTTGTTTTTCTATCGGTTGCATAAGGATAATACGGAGGTGTGCGTGGATACGAGGACGTATGGCAACGCTGCGAGGTTCGTGAGGCGTTCGTGTCGTCCCAACGCGGAGTTGAGGCATTGTATCGAGAAGGGGGCGTTGCATATTTACGTGGTATCGACGGGGCATGTCGAGAGAAACGGGGAGTTGACGATTAAACACGAATCGCACGATTTGGCGGCCATCGGTACGACGAGCATCGCCTGCGCGTGCGGCAATTTGGACGAGTGCTCGGTCAATAAGTCGTCGATCAAAAAAAACGGAGACGCTTTGGAAACGTGAGTTGATTAACCACATTTTTTTGTATTAGTAGGTACTAAAGTCTCGGAAATGATTGCGATAATGGGTATACCGAGCGTCCAGGTTCGAGCGCTGCAATCGGTAGAAAGAGAGAATCGTGGTAAAATAAATGCCGTAGGCTACAAGTTTGTTCGAAGCGAATAATCAGCGGGAGACTAGTAATTAGAAGAGCAAGGATTATGTAGTAAAGCGACAATATTTCTGAGAATTTAGTACCTACTATTTTGGATAATAGCCTTTGTCGTTGGTCAATTTTAAGTCGAAAATATCTCGTAAACTTGTATCCCAAAAGTCACTACTTGAGGAATTATGGCCTCCGATATCGCCACACCTAACACTCATTAACTATTATTTTTGTGTACATAGAGTATTGTAACAAATCGAATTTTTATCAAGTTGTGTGAGTTTATCGTTTCTAATTGCTTGTATAATTTTTCTCAGGCGACCCGGAAGGAAGAGACGAAGGCGTCGAATAGTCTCGCCCGCCCAACCCGACGTCGATCTACCCAAAATACCGAAAGAACCGGCGCAAGCGAGCGTCGCGGCGCCTCTACCGTCTCCGTCGCTCTCTCCCCTCAAAGTGAAACCGGAGAAACAAGAAGAAATCGAGACGGAGGCGATCGAAGAGACACGAAGCGGCGCGCCCGATCCCGTCGAAATCAAAAAGGAAGAGATCAAAGAGGAGGTAAAGTGCGATGTTGTAATGAAAGAGGAAGAGGCGTCGATTAAACGGGAAATCGAAGAGGAGGAAGAAGCAGCTTCGTGCGAGGAGAACAAAGAGAAACGAGACGATGACGAGGCGAAGAGTCCGTCGCCTACTCCCGTTCTCACACGAAGATCTTCGCACAAATCGGACAAGGACGAGGAGAAGGTGTCGACGAAGCCGGACAAGAAGGACAAGAGCAAGAAATTGAGCAGGGAGGAGCGGAAACTCGAGGCCATATTGAGAGCCATCGAACAAGTAATTACTCGCCGCGTGTATGTTTATGTAATGTGGTTTATGCGATGGTGTTATTTTTTGTAGATGGAAAAGGCGGAATCGAAGAAGCAGGAGCACCAGGCGAAGCAACAACACCGGCGCGAATCCGAGCCGAATCCCAACAACAAGGACGACGACGGGAAGGAGCCGAAGGAGCCGCGATCGAAGCGGCGCAGGCGCAAAGGACGGGCGCGCACCGTCAGCCAATCGGCGGCGCGACGCAATCGGCTCAATTCGACCGATTCCTACATGACGACGTCGGGCGACGAGAATCTGTTGTCGCCGAACGGCGAGGGGGTCGCGGCGCCGCCGCCGCCTGCGCTCAGGCATCGTCATTCGACGAAGGAGCATCGAGACGCGAGCGACGACAGGGCGGCCGGTTTGTTGTTGGCGCTGTCGAACGGCGACAACGACGGCAAGGAGCCGAAATCGCCGCCGCCGGCGAGAGAGGGCGATTCGAATTCGAATTCGGCGCATTCGTCGCCCGAAACGCAATTGTCGTCGGCTTGTTTGTTGGTACAGGCGGCCGTCGAGCCGCTCGAACAGGGTTTCAAGTTTCCCAAAACGAAGAAGGGATTGATGAACGAATGGTACGCTATTATCTCGTTTTTTTTTGCGAATCGTGTAATCATTTGGATTTGTTTGCGTTAGGTTGAACAAAACGCCGGAGGCGGTTCAAGCGGGCGATGCGACCGGGCAATTCGCGACTGGGCAACAGCAACAGCAGGCTCACAATAACAATCCGGTGGAATTGGATTCGGGCGGCGGTTTCGCGGCGAAGAACCTGTCGCAGATGATGTCCTATTGCGAGGTGCAACAGGCGCGCGGCAGCGCCAAGAAACGTTGGCTGCGACAGGCCATCAGCGAGGACCATTCGTGTGACAGCCCGTCGAGTCGACCCGGTGAGGATTATTTGGATAATGTTAGATGATAAGCGGAGGTCTTCGATTATTCTGTCGTATTTATTTTTAATCGAGTTATCGATGAGGATTAATCGTTGGTTACAAAACCCTATTAAATACGAGAATCTTATCTAAAACGGGACCTCTACTTATTAAATATTATCGTCGACTGATCCGTCCTATCCCTATATTTATTACTTGTGTCATATTCTCATTGTGTTCGTTACGACTTTTAGATTCACCACCTATTAGTGACATGGTAGCGCCCCCTAAAAAGAGAAGATTGCCCAGGGAGTCTCTATCGACAGACAATTCGCCCCCGTCCACTCCTACCGGTCCTACGCCCCCATTACTCAACGTAAGTCTCTTATTTATTACCCGTTAATTGTCGAATCGTTTCATACCTTATCAAAAAAAATCAACATTTTTGTATATTTTCAGAATTTCGATAAGAATTCTGAGGGTTCGGTGGAGATCGTGTACACGACGACGGGCGGCGACAGCCCCAATCAATCGTTGGAATCGGACGCTGTGCTGCGCGAACGGGCGGCCAAAATGAAGCAGGAATTCAGCGGCAAACCTTTATTTACTTCCACCGCTCGACAGGATTTGGGCTCGTCCATAGCCTGTTTAGATCCGCGATTGGCGCGCGACAATCGATTCCTCGGCACCAGCGATTTGGTGGGCACCGTGGAAAAAACGCTCAGCATTTTGGGTTTGGATAACAACGCCAAACCGGAACCGACGCCCAAGCGGAAAGTTAAGGTACTAATACTATACCGGCCATTAGCCGAAATAACCGATTAGTAAGAGGCTCGATTTGTTTCGCAGTTGTCTATAACCGAATACCGGCAGAGGAAGAAACTCAACGTGGAGGAGAAATCGGACGAGCAGGAAACGGAAGCGGTCGGTATGGAGGAGAACAATTCGTCGGAATCGTTCAAAACGACGACGCCGACGCCGCGGCCTCGATCGGCGAGCGCCACCAGCGACACGTCGGCGACGTCGAGCGACGACGAGGTCAATACGCCCGAGATTTTGGTCAAAGGTATGGATTTTTTCTCTTATTTTCCTTCCTTAGAGTCATTTCTCTACTCGGTGATTGATTGTAGCAGCGTATAGCTATAGTAAGAGGCACTTTGTAAGAGGATATCGTAGCGAGTTGGATTTCTAAATGTTTGCTTCGTAAAGCTGTAGTAAAAGGCGCTTATTATATACAGAGTGCATAATACTTGTAAATATAATTGTGTATTTTCTTTTTAAGCTCCTGTATTCAATTCGGAACCGACGGAATTGGAACGGCAACGGGAAACGTCCAGTTTACGTTTGAAGAAGGCTTTCGGTTTGGCCATCGACAAGGAACCGCCCGGTAAGTAACCGTTTAATTCCTCCAAATATCGGCTAATCGAATACCAATCAATTGGCTCACAGCATTGAACATCAAGGCCATCTTGAACTTGGAGCTGGAACCTACGAAGGGACCTTCGAAAGGCCTGCCGCTGGCCAGTCCGACGTTTCCCATACCGGGAGCGGCCGATTCGACGACGAAAGAAGCCGCGCCCGCCTCGCCCGAAGGGGGCGGCGATTGCCCGCCGCCCTCCGAAGAGGCGGAAATGGAAACTATCGCCGATGTGGAGGAGGAACCGAAGGCGGCGGAGACGGCTTTGCGGTTGTTTTACACGCCCGACGAGGAGGAGGCGGCGGCGGCGGCGCGGGAAGAGGACGACGACGACGTCGTCGCCGCGACGGAGGAGAGCGTCGGCAGCGTCGGTTTCGAAGAGACTGAAAGTATTAGTTACGTGCCGCCGTTCAACAACCCAGTGTATCCGAATAGCAGTTTCGCGGCTTTCTCTTCGGCCATCGGTGAGTAAATTACTATGTTTTTGTTTGTACAAAAATGTGGGACTTTAAGATGCGTTCGATGATACATGACCAAAAACTATCCAAATTGACGTTAATGACATACGGTTAATAGAGGTGTGAATCGACTTTTTTGTATAGAGGTGCAGTGACGACTGTTACAAATAACCGTTATTTTTTCACATATCGTTCTGGTTACTTTTTGCTTAATTTTGATTTTTTTTTCTTGTTGTAGATGATGATGCGCGTTACGAGGGTAGAAATCCCTCGCCTCCGCCGAATCTGGACGAAATAGCCCAATCGTGAGAATCAGAGTTTTATTTTAAAAATTGTTTTGTGCAATTTTCGGAGTAATCATTTTTATGCGAGTACGTAAGTGATATATTATATATAGAAAGAGAGAGAGAGAGATAGAGCACATTGTGTACATATGTTCGTTATTATTACTTTTGGAGATTTATTGCACGTAATTTTCTATAATAAAATCGAGTGTAAGTTTCCAGTGATTCTAAAAAAGTTTATAATTCTTGATTTGATTTTTTTTTTAATTCTTAAACGCTTTTTGTAAAGTTGGTTTTTATAGATATACTATGACTTTATATATAGCTGATGAAAAAAGGAGGTATAAATGTACACTTTGTAAATAAATATTTTTAAATCGATAATGGAAATTAGAAAAATCGTTTATTAGTTGCTACATTGATTTACGATTTGAGTGCTCATACGAAGAAAATCTCATTGTATATAAAAGTAATAGTTTAATTATAAATATAAATACTCTATTAAACGAAATGTGTGTATAAAGATGAATAGTAAATCAATGATGCACGGATTTGTAAAAGTACAAAAATTGTTTGAGGTGATCTCGTTTTTTTTTTAACTAAGAGTTTTTTTTATTATTTTTATAGAGTTAAAAACAATACCGATTGGGTTATTTAGGTAATTAGTGATGTTAATTGTAGCCGTTTCATAATCTATGTAAGTTTCTTCTTAAAAAAAGAGTTTTTATATTTGATAATTGTTGCCGCTTTCTGTTTAGAAAAAAAAATATAACTCTATTAGTATAAAGCAGAAAATCCCTTTCAAGAATGAACGAGCCCTTCGAATGTTCGTGAATTTATGTAAATAGAAATTCGCAGGGCTCGTTTGATTGTATCAAAACTAACGTAAATTGAATTGATTTTTGTTTTGTAAAATACAGGGTGGTCTAATAAAAAGCGCGTTGGCTCTTTTGAATATATTTGACGTACTATTTAACCGTTCTGTATAACATGTTGTGAAAATGTTCAATTTGCGTTTAACACTTAAGTAATAATTGTAAGCGAAAAAAAGTATATTTTTAATGAAAGTATTTTATTTTTTGTTTTTACATTTATAACGTACGTTGATTCGAAATAGTGTCTGACTACATAAGTAGATTAATAATAGGTAGTTGTTTGTTGGAAAAAAAAGAAAGAAATCAATTAAATTGAACGTTTTAAATAGGCTCGATTAAACGATTTGTATGTGAGAACTAGAATTTCTCTTTTATTTCTACCGAAATGTGGTAATTTTTGTTTCAGTTTTTTGTCTTACGAATACAGCGAATCGTTTTGGATAGTTCTTAGAGACATTTCGAAATCTGCTTTATAATTATAGATAAGTTTTTTTTTTGGTATGTTTCGAATTTTAGTTTTTACATTAAGATATAGATGACTTATGGGCCCGATACACATCACAAATGATTTTTTTGTTTCCGAGGTCTCTCTGTGTACATATTTGAATTGATTAATTATGCATATAAATATTTATATATTATATAGATTTGTAAATTTCGTACTACAACCAGTGTAAGTTATGTTGATTAAAATTTCGATTATATTTATTTTGTTTTTTGAAGGGGCCGTTCGGAGGCGGCCGTCGCAAATCGTTAGTGCATTCGCCGCTTCGTTTTTTGTACAAAATTTTCGTAATAAAAATTATCAAAAATTAAAAAAAACCGCGAAATATCGAATCGTATCAGTATTAAGATTTTTTTTCTATCGACGGCGTCGAAATTAACGAATTGCGATTCGTCTAAAATTGTCAATGAAACATCGAGTTTATCCATATAAATTTATTTTAATATATAACATGGCTGTATATATATTAACATTTAATTAATTTGATGTTGGTACAGAACGTACAATTATTAAATAAATCCTCTAAATTTACACCAGCGTTTTTATTTCGAAAATTAAAGCTTACCAATCGAACAATGGGTTAAATTAAAGACAAACGCCTCGGTTAGAATAACCTGTGGGTTAAATTGCTGCAATGTCGCACGGCATCTTTTAATTTGTATATCAAATCCAGCAACTCCACAGAATTGCAGGTAAAATGAATATTCCTTAACGCTTTACCGTCCGTTTCGCTAAATTCCTCTGCCACGAAACATATTCTAAAAAGAGGCCCATCTGCCGAATCCATTTCACTCGACTACAAACAATAAAATTACTCCTACATCATCAATTTAACCAACCAATTACCTTCACAATGTAGTCTATTTTCCACTTAACGTCCGTAATATGCGGCAAAGTATTACCGATATTCAACAAAGCGATTTCAACCGACAATCTCTCCTTTACGAACTGCTGTAGGTACAAATCGATTCGATTACGAGCGAGTCCGCAATCTTGCAAATATTTCGCCACTTCATCGTTCGATAAATTCGATCTGACGAATTCGGCGGTAACGGCCAAAAAGGCCGCGTAAACTTCCTTCGTTACGTCCGGTTTCGAATTGTACAAATCGGTAGTATCTAAATAAAATCACAAAATTAAAATCGAATATTCAGATAGCTGTATACTCACTGTGCACTTCTTTTTTGTCCGTTAAGTAACTAAAACAATTTTCGAGGAGCTTCTTGAAGGTATCGTCGGCTATTAAAGGTATATTTCTACTTATGCGTGATTTATATTCATCCAGTATATTCATTTTTACGTGTATATTTACAAAACATTGGAACGTAACCTCACTTAATCACTTGTCACTTGTCAAAGTATTCTTTAAGACAACTAGGCATGGCCGAATAGCCCCGGTAGCTGAGGCCAATAAATAGAAAAAGAAGAAGAAGACAACTAGGCAGAATAACCTCTATGACCGAGGCCTCGAATAAAGTAGAAGAAGAATATATGACAAGTAGACAAGCGCGTGAATTTGAATTCAGTGATAAATGATAGTGTTATTTCGTGGACGTTACATTTATGATACGATTTCGCGGCATTCCTTCTCCCTTTCGTCAATGTGCACCGTTATTTCGCTCATTAAATCCTTAAATTTGATGTAATCGCAATCGAAACCGCATTCGTTCATCGTCAAATCTTCCACCCACTCTTGTTTGCCATCATGCCGTCTGTACACCAAGTTTACGTAAAAATTCCCGTCTCTCGACTTTCTCAACTCGAATATCAGCGAATCTACAATAAATTAACACATTGCTATTCATAAAAATGATTGATAGTGGCTGGATGTCGCGCAAGTACAAGACCGCGGTGAGTACAGACAGGACCGGACTTGGGATATTTTAAAGGTAACGTGTTTACCCGAAAAGCCGATTTGACGGGAATCGTACACTCCCATGGCGTTCATCAAGTGTATGAGACAGGAATCGTGGCAGGAGAACGCGTAGAATTTCGGGCCGGTTTCTGCGTTGGGAGCGCCGCAGGTAAAGTTCTCGAAATGGCAGATTATCTTGTGGAAAAACGGGCCGATTTTCAAACGGGCCAACGTTTTCGTCGACGTCGACGTTTGCAACGCCAAATCTACAAAAAATTGTCTGAAATACTTGTAGGTAAAAGCCTCCATTTCGCGTTTTCGACAAGATGGCGGACTTACAAGCCAAGTACTTGACGTCGGGATGACAGTAGACCTTCTTGGCCCAATCGGGTATGAAAGTTTTATTGTAATTATCGTACACGTAAATTTGATTGACGAAATCCTCGACTAATTCGGGCGTGATATTTGCCCAACCGGTGTATTCTTTAAGCGTATCGTATATAACTTTGTATTTCTCCTCGAGGTTCTTGTAAACCGCCCGTTTGGCTTGCTGGTACAGTTTCTTGTGCTTGGGACAAGGCCTGGAAAATGGCGTCGTTAGTGACGCGAAATTCGAATCGAAAAATGGAAAAATTCGTCGACCTTTTGTCCAGGACGACGTCGTCCTTGTGCCTTTGGGCCGTGTGCACTGGAATGGGTTGCCATGGTATGGCTTCGTTCCATACTTGGTAGCCTTTGGGTGGGTAGAGGCCTAACAGGAAGGATTGCGCGGACATCAAGCATCGATCAACGTCGGTGGAGTACATGTAAATGTCCTTCGGGGAATAGATGTCGCTGGTGAAGTTCCGGTAGTACTTTCGGAACCATTTTCCCAACGAGTGCGCCCTGATTTTGCCTTTCTGTAAAGTTAAAGTGCGACTGATTAGTCCCCGTAGACGAGGCCGTGGATTAGAAAGAAGAATTGGATTGAGTATTTACCTCTGTCAATTGAGTTAATCCGTTAGGCCAATATTTATCGTCGAAATATATGTCGTTGGGCCACGATCGCAAAGGAGCCCTATCGCCGTGTCTAAATACCTTGAAAATATAAGAATTTACCGCCATTTTGTATCTTAATAATATGCAAAAAGGAAATCTTACCGCTACGACAGTAATTAATTCCGATGAGGGATCGGCGAGCGTCAAAACTTGCCGAACGTAAATCATCAGAAGCATGGAGAATAAAAATGCCGGCCATAATGGAATCATATTTGCCACATTATACTGTTATTTATAATATAATTTTTACGTTTTATATCCTTCGAGGTCGTTGTGATTTTCCCCGGGCGCCCTTTTGTATTCAAGTTTTCAATTCTACTATAATTTAATTCAATTTTATTTCGATGTCAATAATTTGTCAAAATGCCGGCACGTCAATCAAGTCTATCGACAATCGTGACGTCACAAAAGTACAACGCAAGCATATATAATCGACGAGGTTGGCTCACTTTACACTTGTCATTCATGTCCTCTGTATCGATCAAACTTTTGAAACGATATGATTGTGTGTTTGGGGCCGTTGGGGTCCGGCAAAACGCTGTTGTTGCGAAGCCTGTCGACGGGCGGGAGCGTCGATACGACGACGACGGCCGTCCCGACGACCGGCACCGATTTGTTGACCGTCAAAATCGACGGAAAACGGTACGAAATACGCGAAATCGGGGGCGCCATGGCGCCCATGTGGCCGAAATTCTTCGAGGACGTCGCCAAAGTTATCTACGTGGTGGACGCGTCGAATTTGTGTCAAATATCGGCCGCCTGCGTGCTTTTGTACACCGTTTTGGTGCATCCGTCGTTAAGGAACGTGCCGGTAACGTACCTGTCAATTTTATGTTAAGTTGCCGGAGTCGTAATCTTAGACAGAATCGCCGATTTTGCGTTAAATTACCGGAGTCGTAATCTTAGACAGAATCGCCGAATTTACGTTAAGTTACCGGAGTCGTAATCTTAGACAGAATCGCCGATTTTGCGTTAAGTTACCGGAGTCGTAATCTTAGACAGAATCGCCGATTTTACGTTAAGTTACCGAAGTCGTAATCTTAGACAGAATCGCCGATTTTAAGTTAAGTTACCGGAGTCGTAATCTTAGACAGAATCGCCGATAAATTCTGTCTAATGTTACGGAAACGGTAAGATATTTTACCAAGTATTCCTTTTATGTAGATCCTGCTGGTGCTGACGAAAATGGACGTCAGTTACAGGCAGATGAGGAACGAGGCGCTGCTTATGCTGCAAATGAGGCGCCTGCAGAAGGAGCTGCGCCAGAAGATTACCATTACGGAATATAGCGCTATCACGGAAGAAGGAAAGAAGGACATTCTAAATTGGATAACGAAGAAACATTGATAAAATAAATAAATTAGTATTTTTTCCATGTATTATTTTAAAATTGAGGCCTCTAGTTTCTAATCCTGGCCCTTTACTACTCTGTATTACAACACTTAAGTAATTCTTCTTCTAATTTATGGCCTCAGCGACTACGGTTATTCGGTCAAAGGCCAAGCAAGTGTGACAGTTGACATGTTGACAAACATAATCAATAAATAAGTCGAATTAAATGAATTTTAATCGAAAATTACGGTATTTGTAACAAATAAACGCTCGAAGAAGCATAAAAGTGATATAATTTAACAGTAACGCGCCCGAAAAAACTGAATAATCGCCTCGAATTCACCTGTACGTTTATAAATAGAACCTCGTGATTTGTCTATTTATATTTCCACTATTTATTTACAGTGCCATAAAACAAAACCAGCTCACATGACGATGACGCGTCGCATTCGACTCGCCGACGCCGCCTCGATTCTACTAATCACATTTAGTAGACTACCCGAAAGGTCACCACGGCACTCTCTGCACCCAACAACATGGAGGCGATCGTGGGAATGGGCCATTTCTGCGACACCCACGGCCCCAGCGTGATCCTGTGCACCCATCCCGCCGACGGGCCCCTTCTCAAAGGCGCCCCCGTCGCGACGCCCGCCTGCGACGGTTGCCGGTCCATCGACGATCGAACCGTGCTGGTCAGCGAAGGTTCCGATAGATGTTTCGTGACGACCAGGAGCTCGATGGACGAGCACGTGGCACGTTTGTTAAAAGACGTCGTGCTCAGGAGTTTGAGCATCGAGGTATAGAAAGCTATAAGTGTTATAATCGATTGCTCTAAGGCTCTAATCGTAGGTGGTGTCCGAGGATGCGGAGAGTTCCGGTTCGATGTATTTCGGAGATGATAGCAGAGGTCACGTGATATCGCACGTGTTTAGCTTGAAGGATTCGAATGCCAGGGGATTCACCAGGAGGTATTGCTTGGTGGTTTTGGGGAAGAATCCGGTTAGTGCATCCGCTTTGTATGCCTTTTTTTTAGTTGTCGATTGCATGCTAATCGATGTCTGCGATATGACTAAATGTGCATATGGTTTGTTTAATTTATTGAGGTGATTGTAACATGTGTGTTTGCCTGATGCATTGATTGTGTATTGGTTATTGTTTTGTTATAAATTGCATGTATTTACGGTTATTTTTAGATTAATATTTCACTCATTATTTTGTTATATTTCGAAAGGTTTTTAAATATCTGTCTTTTTAACTATACACTATAGTTTTTAACATTATTATACTCTATCTCAGTGTTGTTTTTTTATGTAATTTCTAAGCTTCAATTACATTTATATCTAAGTTTCTTACAACAGTAATTTTAATGAGTTTTTATCGTTTTTATTATGATCAATAGTTTTATCATCAACTACTATTTTTTGTCAATCATTTTTTTTATATATTTTTCGAATGTTAGTTGCATGTTTACGTTCCAGATATCGCTGCTCAGCCACTACGATTTCATCGAAGAAAACCTGAGGAAGACCGGCGAGTACCTTAGACGTAAATCCGAACAGTCCAAGGCCCCTCTAAAGCCTACAGCAGCGCTAGCGCAACTAGTAGACGAGCCTCACGTTTTCGCCCAACTGCATATGCGCTTCGTCTTTTTGCTAGCGGCCCAAATCTACCACTTGGAGCCCCCCAGAGCCCCCGATATCTGATGGATTTTTGTATATCATACGTTATTTAATAGATCTCAACCACTTGTGATATTTGGAGTAATAGACGTGTAATTTTAAAGTTGATAATAAAAAGTTCGTTTTTATTACATTTGTGTACTGTGAGTTATGCAACACAACATACACGTTGGTATAAAGCCGGCAACAGCGCGGATTCTCGTGTGCATTTAGCGAGGTTACGGCGCATGCGTAAAATTCACTTTCAAAAATCCAAACATACCGGTTTGCTCCGGTCCCGCCGCCTCGCACATTTTCCTATTTACAAATCCACCGCAGACCGCAATCGGCTTCGGTAGAGTGCAGACACGCGTGCGGTAGCGCTCTATCACGAATTTATTTATCGGAAAAACTCGCAAACATGTGACGCGAAATCGTCGAGCGCAAAGAAATCGAGTAGGCCGTGGTGATGTGTTTTAGGCGAGAAGAAAGTGCCGTGAACCAGTGGAAATAATGCCGTTCGTGCAGCGCGCGATCGAGCCGAAATGGCTGAGCAAGGGCCGATTGTTCGATGATGACGGACGGCCGAAGATCGGCGACTTCGAGCTGGAGGCCGTCACCAACGGGACGCTGTGCAACGCGTTGCGCCAGCTCGGTTCGCTCGTTCGCGCCGCCGACGACATCTTCGCCGAGCTCGGCGGCCGGCTGGAGGATATCGGAAGGCGGTCGGAGCGGCTGAAGGTGAAGATCGGCCGCGTCGAGGAGAAGGCGCGATCGTTCGATCCCAAGGAGGTCGCTGTTCGTAAGTTTTGCTTGGTTTTTTATTTTGTTGTTTGTTTCGATCAAGTTGCCCGGTTGACGATTGATTGACGTTTGAGTTGTCATTTTGGTGGAATTTATTATTAATGATGATTTAGGACGAATGTTAACTACTTTTTTTATCTGTTTTCGAAAGTTGATCGAAAGCTATATTATTAAAATTACTTTTAAATAGGGAATGTAAAGTTTATTAGATTAACGAAAGTAGGCCTATTTTCAATTGAAACTTGACAGGTTGACAGGTATGTTGCTAACTTCTCGAGTTAGCAAAAATTTCACTAAATTATTCTTTACTAAACTTAATTATATTATCTCATATCTCAAAAACTAATAAGCGAGAAAGAATACGTATGTACGAATTAAGAAAATAGGGCAATACAATAATTGCAATAATTTATTGAATCTAGTCAACTTTGACAGCTGTCAAATTGGAAAAAGGCTTAGTAAAAGCGATTGTAGGTCGTCGCGCAACTTTAAATTTTATTAATGTTTTAATTACCCAAAGCGGAGGTTTTTAGAACCGTTTCGGGTTTTTTTAATGGTTCGTTTAACGAACGGCAATTTCGACCGAGCAAGTTAATTTCGTAATTTACCATTCCCTCGGAACGCGGAAACGCGAATTAAACGAAACAAAAAGAAAAAGTCTTCTTGTTTTGATGGCCTCCATCTTGTCAGTAATTAATTCATTAAATCACCAAGTAGGCCGATATAAATTCGAACGGTGTTACGCCACTGCTTTAAGACCGCATTCGTTTTCTCCGTATAGAGCGAGACAATACTCTACCTGATGCTGATCGGTGAAAAAAAGAAATAGAACTCGACTCAAGGGCAACGACGCCTTGCAGACGAACAATATGATAGATTTTCTACCGAGCATGTTTCAAACTCTCGAACGTTTTTTGCTCTCTTGCAGTGGAAATTGTTTATTTTATAACGAAGTAAATGCCTGTATGATGCATTTAAAGAATGCAAAGGTACGTTAAGTAGGTAAAAGAGATTTCTCTGAACGCGTAGGTGGTAGGTAAAGAAGTAAAAACTTGGTCGAATAACCACTTTGGAAGTCGAGAGACTTTACCGAACTGCACAAGCACATGATGTCGATTAAAAGAACCCATAAAAATCCGATTTATAGCTCGCTCTAAGTGCGTTTACATAACGCCCCTCTGTGGCCTTTTCCCTGTACAGCTTTACGGTTAATTTAATACATATGTCGTATGACAATTCACTGGGATTAGTCGCCCCATTTCGGCGAGAGAATTAACTCGCGGTTTATTTTTATAACGGAAATATTCGGATGCGAAGACGGAGTTCCTTCGGCTAATAACTTCCTATCAGCTGCTCGACGACATTTATATACAGATTGTCCCAACTAATTAATCTAATAGGTAGTCGCTGTTTCGTCTCGTTAATCTAGAAGTCGGGTGGTTTTTTGCGCGTAAATGCGACGTTGCCAAACTTTCTATTTAATACTAAAAGTCTCGACTAATAGACTTCGTATGAATCGATTCGAATCAAAAATTCAACGCGTTTATCGATGAATATTTCACACACGAAACGACCCACCTGCTCTATTCATATGACCTGCTCATTTTCTCGATTTTTACCGGCCACACCTGGCACGAATTTTCGCCGTTATATGTATATCAGTCGCGTAATTGCGACGGGGACAACCTGTATGTAAACTCGTCGGTTGCACGACAAAGACCGGAGGTGGGCGAACGGTTCCGGTTACCGGGGATGTATCTAATACTTATGTAGGTAGAAGTATAGGAAAGGAAAAAAAAAAACCGATTCATACCCGTATGTCTCGTCGATTTCCGATGCCACTTTAAGGGTAAAAAAATGCCACTTTGAGGGATAAAAAGGGTGAGCTGCATTAATGATAACATTCTACGTTTATTATATACGAGGGTGAGGTGAGAAGTTCTCGAAGTTCTCGACGATTTACAGTTGAAAAATTGCGTTATTTTTCTTATTAAGTCGAAATCTTTATGTTCGAGACTGAATAAATCGTTCTGGGGCGTTTTAAACTGTTCTAGACAAGACTAAAGTAATTCCGAAGCGTTTTAAATAGTTCTGAAGCGTTTTAATTGGTTCTAAAATGATTCTGGGGCGTTCTAAATGATTTTGTAGCGTTCTAAATGGTTCTAGACAGTTCTAAAATGATTCTGGAGCGTTCTAGATTGTTCTAAACAATTCTGAGTGATTCAAGCCGAGAACTTTTCACCCTACCCTCGTAGGTATAAAAAAACTGGTATCATGGTCACTGATTGTCTGATTGGAGATTTTAATGGGTATTTTAATCCCCTACTAGGCTTCCTTTAACAAACTCCTTTAATAGTCGTTTCCCAATGAAAAAATGTACCTACAGTTTTTCTAATTTTTCAAATATTCGAACGAAATGTTGATTGTTAAATTACCCGTATTAACATCCTATTATTATACATTTAGTAGAAGCAGCATTCCACTAAAGAAAACTTTTAACAACTCATATAATACTCAGACATTAACTGTAAATGTTATTCAAATCTTAGTCCTGAGTTTATTGTGTGTAAATCCCCCGTAGGATGGTGACAGTATGTTTAAATTATAGCGGGTTTAAAAGCGACCTACGCGCCTATTCCGTTATAGGGCTTTAGAATCTTTAGATTTAGTTAAGATGGAAGTGAATTTAATGGAGGAAAAAGAAAATAAACTCATATGGGATTCCCCGACACGTGCTGATTTAATTTACACATGTGCGAATCTCGCCTGATTCATCTGAAGTTTTTTTGCAAAGTGTGTTGACGGAAACGTTTCTGCGAAGTTTATTTTTAAAATTACTACACTTCTTCGAATCGCGTTAGGTTTTTTTTTAACAATGCGAACGAAAAAAATGGGCGTTTTCCGTTCGGGAAAATTCGGAAAATTCTCGCTCGGTATTTCTGTATCGAGTTATTTCTGACTGGTGACACATCCGGAGTGCCATGGTAATTGGTGTAATTGGTCAAGAGTAAAAAATGATACATATACATGTTAGACAAACATGAATGGGTTTCGTTGTAATTACGAAATCGTCCTAAATATAATTAGATTCGGTTCTTAAACAAACTAAGCGAGCTTCCTTATTAGTCCAATTTATTCTAGTTATTCTATACTCAGTAGTAGAAAAAGTAATGTAAGCTAGTACATAGATAAGAAGAAAATATAAATGTGTACATTTCTTTTTTGTTATATCGCATGAGCCTTGATGGGGAGCATCATTTATTTAGGGAAATCGAGCCGGATATTTCTTCGCGAGATTTATGGCGAGGTTTTTGTTTGATAAAATGCCCGTTTTTCGGGCCATATAAGAAAACATAAGCCGACAAGGGGAAACGAGATTTTTCGGAGAACTTTGCGGAATTAGATCGGGGAAAATGTTGATTCGAATATATCCGATATATGTCGGAGAAACGTATCGCAACGTGGCAACATTGTAAAATTACTTTGTTCATTATTTAAACGAATCGTTTCAATTTAAGTTAACTCTGAATCTACAGCGAATCTGCTTCCGAATTCCGAAGCTCTTTTTTGATGAAAAACACTGAAACACCCCGTATATTTAACCCCCGGTATATTCCTGTCCCTTTGTTATTCCTTATAGCAGTTCACACGGTTTTCTTTCGATTTTATTGCCACTTTTGAGCGAGGTGTTAATTGGTTTAATGGCCGATGGTAAATTAGTCGTTCCGTTAGAATTCGCTCGAACAGGAAAGAAAAATAAATCAAATAATCGTGTAAAAATGCCGTAGGAAAAATGCTACGAAATTTTGAGGAATCGAGAAGAGTAATGTTAATATTTCTGCTTTGCTCTGTTCTGTTTTACTCTGCTCTGTTCTGTTTAATTCTGCTCTGCTCTGCCTGATGTTCGTTTTAATCGCGAACGCGAAGTAGGTCATGCGTTATTATTATTATTATTATTAATATGTTTCGTTTCGAGGATAAGAATATAATTATTGTAATATTCTTTCCCATAAAACTGCGTTTTTCTTATCTTACTCCAAGCGGTTTCTACGAAATATCGAATTCGTTTTACGATTATTTATTGATTATCGTTATCTTAAATGCTCGTCTAATCGAACACTCGAAGCGTTTAGTGGAACGTTATATTTCCCTATAAAATTAAATAATACTCCGTTTATGATGTTTTACTTTGAACACTTTTACTTTTCCCCTTCCGGAATCCATTAATTTAGAATTTTCGACTATTGACAGCTGTCAATTGGAAGAATTCGACAATTGACAGTTGGCAGAAACGCACGACTCGCTGGATTGTTCGGAACACCCAACACTCTTGATTAACATTTTATTTTTCTTCTTCTTCGCCTATTCGTTCGTTCGTTCGCCGGACGAGCGAACAAGGTCGAAACGAAGACCGGAGAAATAAATAAAGAGTTCGTTATCCCGACTGTGTACCGAGTTTCTTTTGATGCGATGCCGCCATGGCGAATGCCAATACAAACGTTTTTATTATCGCGCTCTCGTCTGCTAGACATATTATATACCGGTAGAAACCTTTACTTTAGATATTCGATATTCCAAACGAGAAAGATGCGCCATTTAACGTCTGTCATGTGCCACACGTTGTCGAGAATTCTGTCATTTGTCGTCTGTCATGTGTCAATTCTCGAAAATCTCATTTGTCGTCTGTCATGTGTCAATTCTCGAAAACTCTATCGGTTGTCTACTGTCATGTGTCAATTCAGAAAATCTCATTTGTCTTCTGCCAGGTGTCAATATGTTGTCGAAAATTCCGTGTATTTTGCGCGTTTCGAGTGAAAAAAATCGTTTCTACGGGGTAATAAAAATGGAAAAAACGGTTAGGGAGCCCGCCCGATGGGAAGTTTTTAAAACTGGTTCTCCGCCGGCGGAGGTCCGGCCGGCCGTTGTGGAATTAAGACGAGAAAGAAAGAGATTTAATAGGAATTTCACGTGAATGCGGCTGTTACAGGGCCGTATTCC